TATATATATATATATATATACATACATATATATATATATACACACACACACACACACAAAATAAACACTTGAAAAAATATATTGGGATTCTTCCAAAACTAGCCTGACCGCCTGACTTACATTTCCACTCAAGAACTAATATAAAGGAATAATGTGGTCCTTATCAATTTGAAATTATATTTATCTTCAGTAATATTTCCTTTTTTTGGTTTAATCTGTTCCGAATACATCTCTACTCCTCTTTAAAAACATCAGACAAGCTTCTGCACAACCACAGCCATCATATTAAGTGTCTCCATTGCCAGTACTCTAGAAAATAAACTGACAAGTGTAGCCATCTCTTGCTAGGTTGTGAAGCATCACTATTTTTCACAGTACATATTTTTTAGGTCAACTTTACTCAAGGGCACTACCTCTTGGCTACTCCTGATTTTGTCTTTGTTCTGTCACTTTATGCATCCCTGACAGTCCTTGCAACTTAGCTGCAGTTTTTAACGAGAATATAAAGGTTTTTTTTTCCTTTTTCTTAACTGAATGTTGGTGTTTAAAGTGTTTAACTGACATTTTGGCATAATTCTGAATGCTGTTTAATGTTATCATTCCTCTTTGAATGTGAAATATGAAGATTAAGTGACCAAGTAACTCATTCAACCATAAAAATGTCTTCCTTTACCTGTTTAAACTAGAAGTTTGAAAGTCACTTTGGAAAAATGCTACTTGAAATGAGGGTGTTAAAAAGAGAAGAATAGAAAGCTCGAAATAACATTTTAACAACATTAAATAACCACTAGCAATGTAATGCCATTTTAGTTCTGAATTTCGTACAATCTTTATAAATCAAAAGATAGCCTGTTATTTGTAGCCATTTGTGTATATTTTTTCACAGTGAAAATTATAAAACAAAAGTGCCTACATAATGAAAAAATGTAACTCTAATCTGTTCCAGGGGTTAATGGCCTGTAAACTTCCAGGTCACAACAGAGAAGAGAGAAAAGACTGAGCTTCCTCTTTTCTCCTTAGTTATCCAAAGAAAGACACAGGCTAAAATATGATGAACATCCTCCTTTGTAATCAGAAATGTACTTTTAAAGTAGTGATCTCTAGCACAGGTACCAATTGCTGCCCATACATCAATCACATAGATTCAGGACTTGGCTCAATGGCATGAGTTCAGAGTTTTCTAGGAGATTGCCTGCCTCCGTCAGCAAAATGATCAGATAATATTTACAAAATGCAATGGATTGTAAATACAAAGGCAGAAGTGTGGTCCTTCTGGGAGAAAAGACTGAGTACCCCGTTATACCAACATTGTTTCTAGAAAGTGTTGCACATTGACGCTTCAGTGTTTCCAGCAAACCAGTATCTCAATCCCTGATGCATCTCCTTGGAGGATTATGTCTGGACTACAGATTTCTTAATCTATGCTGTGACTGAGCTAGGAACAGCTAAGAAAGCAGGAGAGGCTCCCTAACAGCCATGATACCACAGAATGCAGCCTGAGAATCCCTCTGTTTACCTGAAGATGCGCTTGTTTCAATTCAGTGATCATCACCTCACACAAAGAGAAGCAGAGCTAGTAGTTAATTATTTCTGGGAAAGTATCTCTCCTTCCCACTTTTGAATTATTTCAACAGGTTTGGCCTTTCCAAATTCCAGTGTGTAAGCGGAATGACCCTGTGTCCTGGAGGGGAAGACATATAACATAAATATGGCTACAACGCCATAAGTAGTACACTGTGACCTTCGTTTTCTACTTACAGCCCTCTCTTTATCTGAGGGGCAACGACTTGGTAATAGGCATGTCTCCACTGTTCAACAGGAAGAGTTTCAGAAGAAGGAGAGTGGAGGTGAGGGTGGGGAAGGAAAAGAACAATTCTTATTTTAATGGAAAAGTGCATTGGTCAGCCAGGAGCAACAATGACATTCCCCTCCCCCAGAATTGATTGCACAAACTCAGAGAGGTCCAAAGTCACATTAGAATCTCTGAGGCACTCCTGGTTCTAAGAAAAATCATGATCCAGTAGTCTTTGCAGTACTGTAGACTGATAAAACTAACCCGTTTCTATTTCTTAACAAAGCAAAGCATCATCTCATAGGGATCACATTCACCATTTCCTCCAATATCACCAGTCTCACAGTGTTGAAATGGGACTGATCAGCCTACGATGGATTGCACATCACCCAAGGAGAAAGGAAGGTGTGGAAAAGGCATACAGTACATTTTATACTGCTTCACAACCATGTTCACAAGGGGTAGGGACTGGGGGTGAGGGGAGATTTATTGCTGTTTCATACAAAATACAGGATGATATCTAAACTGAATCAAATGAGATCACAATGGTCAGTATTTTCACACTGTGTGATGAAGGTTCTTGTTTTTGCCCAAGGATGAACTGTCTGTTGGTTAAAGAGGAAGAGGGGAGTCAAAGCTACACCTGGGATATCAGCTGCATATTGAAACTTGGGGATCGAGACTGCTTGGTAAGGGGAGCCCCTGGGGTAAGGAGATCTTTACCTTCCCCAGCTTGGCCTAGCCGGTCCTCCTGTAGACTGATAGTTGAAAACCGATTGGAATTGCCAGCTGCTAGATTAGTAACACCCTCAGTGCCAACCCCAACAATGGAAGCTGCTTGACCACCATTCACATAGTCAAATGATTTACTGGAGGAAGCACTGGCGGTCCGGATTAGGCTCAAGCTACTGGCTTTTGGTACCACCTGCCCAGCAGGCAAGCTGAGGTGTTTCTTTGTAGGTGTCATCTCAATTGTTTCTGCAGTAAGGTCAGTTGGTTGGTGCAGGTACTGCTTCCGAGCTACTGAATCTCGAGGGCTCTCATTGGATTTAGTGGCAGATGATGTTTCTTTATCCTTAGCTGAACGCCCACTTGCTGCTTTCCTTAAACTGCCCCTCTGGGATGTGGACGATAGAGGCTTGGTCCCAACTGGCTGGCTACTAAGGGAAGCTCCTGATGAAAATCCTTCGTCAGCATCATTGAAGTTCACGGATTCCTCTCTTCCATTTACACCCTCAGTATCTACAAAAACCCAACACAAATAAATCAGACCCAGAAACTAAACAGTCAAGTTACATGAAGTAGATGTGTACAGATGTAAACAAAACGTCACTAAAAACGAACTTCATTTTCTGATCCAAACACTTTTCCACTTGTTAACGGATTCCTGCAACCAAAAATCTTCCCTCTATACATAGTGGATAGTAACTTTAGTCAGCACCAAATTCCAGTACTCTACACTAGCAGCCTGATTTACCTCTCACTTGCCTGATTTTACACTGATGTAGCCTCATTCACTTCAAGGGAGTTATTCCTGATTTACATGTGTAAATACGAAAACTCAGACTCCATATGGTTTATTTATTCTCTGTTCCATTCATATGCACTGTGCCTGGTTCTCTCACACTTGTATAAATCGATTATGCTTTTGTTTACACAAGTGAGAGGAGAATCAGAGCCTCTTGTGTATGTACTTTTTATCTGGGTAAACCTCTCATCTGTATTATTTCATCACCTTCTGTAGAACTGATCAGCTCCAGCATTACTAGTAGAGGCACAGATAATTGTGAGCATCTGAACAACTCTACTTGACTATCCAATCCATTAGCCAATTCACTCATCCTTTCAGCCTAGTTTGCTATTTTTATCCTGATTTAGGCCTGCATCCCGAGAGGTACTGAGTACAGTAAATGCAGCTCCTGCTGAAGTCAATGTGAGTTGCTGCAAGAGCTCAGCAACCTTTAGGAACAGGTCAGACCATTGGTCACCAATCGCCACCCCGCCTGCAGGTGTAGTAGATTTCAGCAGATGCTAACTGGCACATAATGTGACTAAACTTTCTCCTGGAGATAAACCCTAACTCCTAATTGTCATCTCTCCCTCAAACCCCAGTCCTCCTTGCACTTCCAGCAATTACGTGAAGCTGGCTTCCATCATATCACTTGTAACCTGGCTGCCTAAATATCTTCTATCTATAAAATACTTCTTTGTATATGGAATACAAGATTAAGCTGCAAAGTGCTGCACACTGTGGAAGAGACTTTGTGCTTCTGAACAGGACCTGCCTGTCAAACAGGAACCTATCACTCCAGGCCATGAATGGAGAACAGAGAATACCTAGAGGTGGCCTGTTTCCTAGGATGCAACCTGAAGTCTGGTTTTGAAAGTTGGGAGTTTAAAACCCAACTGTGAGGGTATGTCTACACTTCAATTAAAAACCCATGTCTGGCCCATGGGGCTCAGGCTCAGGGTCTGTTTAACTGGTATAGATGTTCGAGCTTGGGCTGGAGCCCAGACTCTAGGACCGGAGCCCAGGCTCTAGACCCTGCGAAGTGGCAGGGTCCCCATAACATCTAAACCAAAATTAAACAGACCCTTCTCCGGAGCCGAGTCAGCTGGCATAGGTCAGCTGCAGGTGTCTAACTGCAGTGTAGACATACCTTGAGTGTATTAAGTCAGTGACCTTTGGAAGTAAGTCTGACTTGACAGGGTGCAAAGGTGGATGAGCTCTGCTGGTTTACTGGCTGTATTTACTGGCAGCAGGTTCCTTTGAAAACTACTTCTAGTTTGTGGTTTTCATTTTGCTCCCTTATTTTCCATTACTAAGGAAACAGATGCATTTACTTCTTAAGTGTTGCTTTCAGTCCTATACCATAAAAAGGATTGTACAAAAAATAGCAAGTATTTTCATAAAAAATGCAATTTTGTTTCAGGCCATTTTGAAACCCCAAGGAAATTCATAAAGTAGTTTTTACATCAAAACATGACAAAATATGCATTTCTCACGTATCTGAACAGGACTTTGAATTTCAAAAATTGTAGTTTTTGCATTTGAGTGAAAGTGAGCTCATTTTCATTCCAGCTGTCTTACTTTCAAGATTAAAAAAGCAAAATTTCACCTTTTTTTTTAAATAAGGCCTTCCATTTGTAAGAATTTCAGATTTCCCTGTGATAACTCTAAGTATGACTGCTTGCGGGAAACCCCAGGAAGTGTACATGTTTGACAGCTTCAACTGCTGCATTATTCCAGTGGCAGTTTGCTCACTCTGCTCTGGCACATACCAAAGAGATTATCTGAAGCTCATTAAATGGTGGCAAAAGGTTTATGAGTCTAACATACAGGAATGAACCTACCCTTCCACAGGCTGTTGTCAGTGCACTGACAAAGGTAACAAGTTGTCTTTAAACTTTCGAGTTACACGGCAGCCTATTGAGGCCAGTACTTTGGCTCTTGGTGCTCCTTCACCACACAAAAATATCTAGCTTGGCTATGCATCATATTTCAGAAGCAGGAGCTGCACCAGGGTTTTTGCCGCCCTAGGTGGCAGCGCTCCTCCTCCGAGCATTCAGGGGTCCTGGGGTCTCGGCGGTGGCAGGAGTCCTTCTGCGCCGAGTCTTCGGGGCACTTTGGCAGAGTGAAGGACCCGCCGCTGAATTTCCGCCGAAGACCCAGAGCAGAAGGACCCCCTGCCACCAGATTTCTGCCGAGGGCGGCAAAATGCCGTCCCCCAAATCCTGCCTCCTTAGGCAACTGCCTAGGGTCACCTAGTGGAAGCGCCGGCCCTATTCAGAAGCAGAAAGCAGAACAGCTTTACAGATGGGGTTTTTTGGGTCCCTTTCCCTTTTAGGAAACCCTTTTTGTTGAAGCTAAGATCACTGTTATTCCTGGTTTCAGCCTCGCAAGGGGGCACTCAGCCACTTTCTAACCTAAAGCCATTCTCAGTAGAGTACAATGCTGGTCTGCTTTATTATGTAATCCTCATAGGTTTACTCTAATATTCAACCTCCCATAACTGTAGGAAACTTCACAGTACTGCAATCTTCATACCTGGAAAAAACTTTAGCCTCAGGACAAGACAAGCATTTTAAACTCTAAGGGATATTTTCTAATTATTAAAATGCATTTACTACAACTTCCTGAATATATATTTAAAATGTGTTTTTTTCCTGTTTGATCAAATCAGTCCTTTAGAAATATAAAAGTGTTTGTCTTCTCATTTATTCACACAAATACTTCCCCACATTAAACAATGAGACATTTTACGAACAACCCACCACCACCGTCCTCAAAGGTGCTGGTTAAAGGATAATACAACCGAAATACCCTGAAAACAAAAGAAGCTTTTCCCATCAGACCCAGCATTTATATTCTTTTATACCATCATGCAAAGCTGAATGAAAGTGCATTGATTAGGAACCCCAGCAGCAGCTAACACCTCCTCTCTCAACCCTCCCTTATTCAAATGGATGATGTGTAACTTGCAGGGAGACACCCCTAAGCAATATGGAAAAGCTTTATTTGAACACTGATGCAAACACTGTGAAGAAGCACCGAAGTGTTCATGAGAAAATAATCAGGGATGCTAAACAGATTATCCTACTTCAGAAAAAACACCATGAGACAGCAGAAAGAAATTGGAAAGGTAAAACTGTCAAGTATCCATTCAATTTAGAGAGGAGAATGAGAGGCTTGGTGCAAGCTTTTGGATGCTGCAACCATGCAGAGGCCCAGGCAGCACAGCAATGCTGAAGAATGAAGAAAACAGACAAACCAACATGCAGGAAAATCTCTCGCTAGTCAGATCCCAGATACTCAGGAAAGTTCTCATTGGAGTGAAGTCTTTCACCTTAGTAAAATACACCTTAAATATATACAGTTATCCCACTGGATGGTAGTTTTCCTCTAACACTACCCTCAAAGACAAATGAAAGGGAGAGTGCAGTTCAGTTCTCTATACCCCTTATTTGGAACAGGGAACTCAGAAAAAGTGGTAGGTTTCTTCTTTTCCAACAGAACAGTAACAATCAAAACAGCATCTTTTCCTGAACAGCCCCATAATTGACTAAAATCCTGGAAAGGAAAGGAGCTCGTGTGATATAAAAATGAGAGAGAAAATGACAAGTCAACCACACAGCTTTTGTCTTCAAGTTTCTCAACATTTTCTATAGGAATTAGTGCTTCTCTAAAGAATGCACTTTTAGTGTGACACAGAAGTCAATACGAAGTAGATCCAGCAGAAGTATTACATTTATTTTTGGATTTGTTCCATGTCAGCTTTCCCCCTACCATCATCTACTGGCCACAAATGATTGTGTATACCTACTGCTGCAACCCGACAGAAGAGTATCAACACACGTAACCCTTTTAAACACACATCCTTTCTGAGGCGTCACTAAGCCACCTCTCGGAAACCAGCAGAACATTCCATGTATTGGTTCCAAACACTAGTTTAAAAGGGGTATTTATTCTGTTTATCCTTCTCATAATTAGATGCATAAACAAACTTGAACAATGAAAGGGATTACTAGGGTTTACCAAGAAAGATCTTTCTCGTTTCACGCTGCTGTCAGGTAGGACATTGTCACTCAATTGAGGGTATTTGCAAATTTAAGTTTTCTGCAAAATTATCATCAATAAATTAACAAGGTAATATACATAACATAAAAATAATAATTTAAGTATTAGTAGTCAAATCTGCTTTAGCTCCATGGCCACTTTCCACCCCATAATATTACTGAATGGCAAAGTTTGTTCAATTTGAGCAAACAGGCAATTGTCAGCTTTCTATGTTCAGTTATCTGCTCAAATATTCTTCACTTTCATATCCAGGAAAACCATGCAAAGTGATGCAGACTCCAAAGGAACAAGTCAAACGACATGGATATTTTAATAACTCAAGTGTTAGAAAGGGGAGGCTACATTCTGGGCAACCATTTTTAATGAAGGTTCTCTGCAAAGCTGAGGCCTTCTCCATATCCTTCAGGACATGCACATGCAACCGTCAGTACAGTGGAATAAGACGAATCAGAACAAATGGAGTAAGGCTGGGGTAGGGCTCTTGTTTACTGAGCATGCTCAAACTCACTACGCACCAAGGAGCAGATTCTAAAACTTCAACAGCATCACGTTTTGTAAGTATCTTATTTTCCAAAGAAGTGGGATGTTGTGACCCTCATTCATTACGGGCTGATTCACTGCGGTGGGTTCCATGGTAACAATACATCAAATCTAGAAGAATCTCAGATTTTTGTTTCCACAAGGACACCCCGAAGGGTATGCAGTACATATGAAACAGTCTGCAAATACCTTCTCTGTTTCAGAGAAATTGTGACCTTTATAGCTGTTGGAAATGCCAAAGGAATGTTCACACAGAAAAGAAAACTTAAATTACAGAAACAGATTAGGAAGATCAGAGGACTCTTGGGAATACATTTTCAGCTAAAAGCCCAGGGAATTAAGCACACCACCACCACCAAGAGAAGTCATGAATCAAATTCACTGCATGAAAGCATACCTCTTACCAAGTACAGATGATAAGTTAATAGACTCACTAAAGGAAAATGAACCTGTATCAGACAACCCACAGAATACTACATGTGGCTGCAAGGGCAGCTGTTGCAAAATCCAACAGCATACACTAAGAGAACCTGTTTGTGAAGAAAAACAGTCACTGTTTTAAAGTGGCTGGAAACGTGACAACTTGATTCCATTTAGGGGATTGGTGTGGTTGTTTACAGCCAGTCCACTCACGCAGGCTAACAAGATGGTGACACTTTAGTGAATAGAAGTGTGGGGAATAAATATAAAAGAATTTATTCAAAGCAGAACACTGGGAATCTACATCTTAGGCAAACCCAACTTTAACAGTGACAGGAAATTCACTTTGGAATTTTGAAACATTGTTCCAATACTATCTTGTTAATCTAAAGTTGTAGTAAGATTCTTTTATACCCTAAAACGGGTTTTCTGAACTGGGCTCATGCTCATTTGGTGCAGTATTTTTCTTGCAAATATTAGAGTAAACATGCTCAGTAATAGGAAATTTCCAAGCAATCTCAATGCTCTTAGATGCTGCCCTTGCCTTTTCGTTAGCCATGCCAAGCTGCCTTTCACCACACAGAGATGCAAGCCCCAGGCCAGCCCACATGATAACAAAAGGTAGTACCTGACCTGGTGCTAGGCATATAGGGGATGTGTGTATTGCAAAGAGAAGCTAATACACCCTGGGATAGTGGAAACACGCACTAGAATGGAAAGAAGTTCTGCTTGGGGATAGGGAGCCAGGATCTTCCTCCGGCAACTGCCTCACTGACTTCTGCCTCCTCTCTGTCCTACCCTCTGTTGTGGCTGCTGTCAAGGTGGGCTCCGGTGAGCCATGCTCAGGGGTCCTGCGCACCAGCACCTCCCCCTCTTGCTCACGTTTGATCCCTAGGTCTGTGGAGCCGTGTTGGATCGGGGAGCCAGGAATGCTTGAGTCAGCCTCGTTTGAGAAGTCAAAGCCATCTGGGATTCAACACATAAAATTTTAGTGCTTTTCTATTCCTTTCTAGGCATTCCAATCCAGGCAGGGAAAAGAGAAGATTATGTGGACATGGAAAAACAAAAGCACTATCCACACTTAGGGCTGGTCTACACTGCACTGTACAGTGGGTTATAGGGGGAGCAAATTGCACAGTGCACAACAATGGTATGCTCTAACTGCTCCATGTGAACACTGCTGGAGCAAACTAAAAAATACCTACGCTTTTGAAAGAGGAGTATGTTAAATGCAAACTTTATACCTTTTAGTTCATACCAGCAGCTTCCACACAGGGCATTTTGGTGCACTCCGCAATTCACACCCTCATAATCCACACTGTATGCAGTGTAGACATAGCCTTACTTATATACACACACATGAGTACATTTGTGTGCACACCACAGAAAGAGGCAGATGAACTATATTGTACGTGTGAGAGACTGGCAAGTGAACAAAACGATATCAGTGGTAAGAACAAACATGACTGAAAATCTGCAAAATGGTAACGTTTGTTTCTAGGCTTGGGCAACCTGACTTGACAGATCATGAAGCACTCCAATTCTTGATACATAAAAATAAACTGTAAAAGAAGGGACAGGGGTTTGAAACCAGGGATCAAGTTTTCCCTTTGCGATATTTTAAGTTCCCACTTTTTACTTTCAGCCATTTATGCAGCTTTTTCAATGGATGTTTTTATACATGCAGGAACACAAAGCTTTTAAATATGACAGTGATTTCTAAGCAAGCTTTTTGCCATACTTATACTGAAGGTGCACCTGACCACATCAAGAAAAAACTACCACCACATCTATTTTTCTTCCTTGCACAATTAAATATTATTCTTAGCAATACAAGTATCCATCAAGAAAAATAGGGGAGTGAAGGGGAATGAGATAAGTTACCCAAAAGTAGTTTAGGAATTTTTCTCTAAGAACAAATGGTCTGATTTAGAGGGGCACAACTCAATCTCCCACAGACTTAAGTGGGATCAGTGGTTGCTCAGGACCACTGAAAAAGTCAGGCCAACAGATGGGAGGCAATGTGGTCTAACGGACGGAGTGTGGGACTGGGAACCAAGAACTCCCAAGATCTAATCGCACCTCGGCCATGCTACGCAACATGGAAAAGATACCTAACCTCTCAAGCTTCTCCATCCGTAAAAGGAGGGTAACATTTACTTACCTACCTCACAGGAGTACTGTGAGGTTTAAAGAGTTCATGGCCATGCAGTGCTCTGAAAGGATGTAAAGCGCTATATATTGTTACAAAATACTGCTGTTTGAAAAACAATTAAATGAAACTATTCTGCCAACATTCAGATTCAGAAGCTAATTAGTAACGATGGAGATGAACACAGTACAGTATGTTATTCGCGGCGCCATGGGACTGCTCACCTTCTCTCCTCCAGCGATGGCGGCGGATGGAAGCTGTCGTAATGGCAGTCCGAGAGATCCTGGGCACTGTAGGAGTAACCTCCACCTTCAGTACCTTCTGGCCTTCTTGCGACATATCAGGGGCATCAAAGGGCAACGAGTTCTTCATGGCATTCGCAACCTACGGTAACAGTAAAATCCTATGCAAATTCACCACCCTCAACTATACTAAGAGCAGTGCCAGATTTCATTGTCAGACTGGATGGGGAGACAAAGATTTGGCAACAGTATATCAGGCTGCCACATATAGACATGGCAGCGACTTCAGGACTTCATGTTTCATGACCACTGACAGGGTCATTGCAAAGCTGACATATCTGGACTATACAGGACTTCCTTCTCCCTAGGAAGGTTTGAGCTTCCCCATTCTTATTTTATTAAATGATCTATTTGTTTTGCTGCAGATTCACTGCACAAAAAGAGAGTGTTCCAACAGAGTCAAACTTCAAATGAAACCCAGTAGTACTATCCTTCAAGAATTAGGTCACAAACTATGTCAATGCAAACAGCACAAGTGCAATCAATGGCTACATGAATAAAAGTAGTGTTACCTTCACAAAGGTCACATAATTAGCTCTCAATCTTCAACTACCCCTTTTTGTCAGTTTTCTACAAAATTTTAGAGAACTGCAGCATGACAATTAGAGAAGCTCCACAATAAGTTGTTCTCTACAATAAACGATAGGTATGAGAAGTGCTGATAAAGCTGGAACTCTATTTTTGCAGCTCTAAGAGAGAGCAACTGATCTCTTCCAGCTTTGAGACTTAACATACTATTGTAAACATAAAAGCAGCTGTAAAAATGGCATTATGGGGTTCCACATTTATTCTTTCAGTAACTTCCAGATGAAACTTCCCAGTTTACAAATTAGAAGATAGCCGTTCGAATAGCCAACTGCTAACAAACTAGGATATGAAAGTCAAGTTGGGGTTTTTGCAGCTTGTGCACCATCACCAGTATAATAAACTTGCAGTCAGAATTTGGTTCACACCTTTTTTGATAGATGAGAAAAATAGAATCCAGCTCATCATCTGTGGCGGTGTTGACTCTGCAATACTAATACACTAATAAAATAATAAATACTAATACTTTGCACTTACATATCTTAATTCAAGGATCTCAACATTTATTAAAACTTTCCCCTAACAAAGCAAGCTGATATTACTCAAAGGGGAGTGATAAGTTGAGTAACAAGGTATCATTTCCCTAGTTATTATTCTGCCTTTAATCTCACTCAGTCCCATCCTATATACAGCAACAATTGCTATTGTAAGTAGGACAAGCTTTTCTTCCCTCAATGCAGTTAACAGGCATTAAGAAGAACAATGCTATGTAGTCACCCAACTGTTTTTTTCTTGGATCATTTAAAGTCATCAGTGATTTATCAAAAGTCGAAACTGCAGAGACAGAAGTATTTTAAAGACTGAAGTTTGTATTGGGATGTATAACAGAGCTGCAAGACATGGCCCTTTTTAAATCAAGTAATTTATTTGGTTGCTCATGGCAAAGACATGCAAACATCAGTGAAATATATTTTTTAATTGACAAAACAAAACCCAGAGATGGATAGTCCTATGTCAGTTCAACTGAAATCCAGATTAACTGAGGGCAGGTCTTCACTACAGCCGGGATCAACACTCTAAGATCAATCCACTGGCGGTCGATTTAGGGGGGGTCTAGTAAAGACCCGCCAAATCGACAGCAGATTGCTCTCCAGTCGACCCCTGTACTCTACCCCTCCCTCCCCCGACACGACAGCAGATTTTCTCCTGTCGACCCCCCACAGTGTAGACCCTGCGGTAACTTGACCTAAGGTATGTCGACTCCAGCTACGTTATTCACATAGCTAGAGTTGCGTAGCATAGGTCAATTTACCACGGTAGTGCAGACATAGCCTGAGTATACACCTTTAACAAGAGGCTCTACTGTGACATAGAGGCTCATTGCTACCAACTGGCAAAGGGTTCATGATGGTCAGCAACTCCTACTAGGCCTGACAAACTCACTACACCTAACACATTGCTTTCATAGTATTTATCCATAAATAGTGTCCTGTAAAGTATCAAATGAAAGCTGGTCATTATATTGTTGAGAAATATATGTACTGTACTGACATTTAAAAAGTTTTGTTTAGATACTGTAGTATCTAAAGTCTTTAACCAGGCACAGCTGACAAACAGGTTTCTTCCAGAGAGGAGATAAGATGTATCTCTCTGTCAAATGTAAATTGAGCATTGAAAGCCAAATCTGAATACCGTGAAACAGGCAGATGGAAAGATGCTGGAGACTAGAACCCACAGGGGGTTGTCTTGTCTCTGGGGTGCAAAGACAATGGACTTTGGGGTATAAGAGGGAAGCACAGGGACCACTCTTTTATTCTGCGCTTGAGGGGGTAACCAGGCAGTGCGCTTATGCCCATGAAAACAAGATTTCAAACAACCTTGGCTGAAATGATGTAAGGAAGTTCTTAGATGAGAAATTGCTTTAGACGAGGTTAGCTTGTTATAGTTCAGTCTAAGTCTTCCAGAAGTGTGTTATAATTTTGTTTTATTTGTAACCTGTTATTCTTGTTACCTTTTCTCACGATCTCTTAAAATCTTTACCTCTGTTACTAAACTTATACAGTAGAACCTCAACGTTATGATCGCCTTGGGAATGAAGGTTGTTCATAACGCTGAACAAAACATTATGGTTGTTCTTTCAAAAGTTTACACATGAACATTGATGTAATATAGCTTTGAAACTTTACTATGCAGAAGAAAAGTGCTGCTTTTAACCATCTTAATTTAAATGAGACAAGCACAGAAACAGTTCCCTTGTCAATTTTTTTAAACTTGCCCTTTATTTTTTTTAGTAGTTTACGTTTAACACAGTGTTGTACAGTGTTTGCTTCTCTCCCCCACCCCCTCCCCACCCAACCCCGACTCTGCTGCCTGATTGCACTCTTCCGGTTCCAAATTAGGAGTGTGGTTGACCGGTCAGTTTGTCACTCCGGTGTTTGTAACTGAGGTTCTACTGTACTTGCTTTCACAATAAACAGGATTACAGTGCTGTGTTATCTTGGAACAGATAGTAATTTGAATCAAACAGGCTGGTGCGTTTATACTATTCCCTTGGGAGTAGGGAACCTGGTAATTGCTGCGAGTGTCAAGTGACAGGGGCTGGATTCTAGAGGGGGATGCTTTTGGAGTGGCTCAGGGGCTGGGGTCCAAGAATTGTTAAATTGTAAGGCAAAGGAGCGGCTGGTAGAGCCCTGGGGTAATTGCTTGAATGGTTGAAAGGCTGGTGGCATCTGGGAGCTGATACCTCACTACCACAAGAAAGACTCCCTCTTGTCTGAGGCAAAGGGTTAACAAGGTGACTTGTAGTCCTGGGCACCCCAAGAAAGTGTCATATTTACTTTTCTGTTAACATGTTCTTTTAGTCCATACTCTACACTAGGGGTAGGCAACCTATGGCACGCATGCCAAAGGCAGCACGGGAGCTGATTTTCAGTGGCACTCACACTGCCCGGGTCCTGGCCACCAGTCCGGGGGTCTCTGCATTTTAATTTAATTTTAAATGACGCTTCTTAAACATTTTAAAAACCTTATTTACTTTACATACAACAATAGTTTAGTTATATAATATAGACTTATAGAAAGAGACCTTCTAAAAACGTTAAAATGTATTACTGGCACGTGAAACCTTAAATTACAGTGAATAAATGAAGACTCAGCACACCACTTCTGAAAGGTCACCGACCCCTGCTCTATACCTTTAGTCTCTTCTATACTGAAGAGAAACACAGGAAAATGCATTGTTTAAACTGTGAGACATCCTTTGTCTAAATTCCTGTGGTTGTATCAAATATTTTGTACATAGTTATGAATAAATATTCCTTTGGGAAGGAGTTCTACCCAAGGAAGGGAGGGTAAGTAGTGGCTGTGATATCTGAACTATGTGTCTTGTTTAACAATATTAATTTTAAACTGTAATCCCATTGTTCCCCATGATTGGGGAAATTCTGGTAGAGGGTAATCTCTCCTCCCAGTTTATTGGCACAGCATAAAATTCTCTATAGTGCCCACAAAAGGTCTAAGGAAAAATAAGTCAGTTGGATAGTCATCTGCCCTTTGGAAAAGTGTAACAGTTTATCTTGGAAAACTCACGAGAGAAAAGAAAGGAGAATTTTACACAATGTATGTGGATGTTCTCAGGAACAAGCAGAGTAATACTGTGTAATGTTTACAAGCTTCTCCTCTTTCTTTTTTTTTTTTATTAAATTATTACAGTTGTCCACGCTGCCATTCTTTCATCACCCAGGCATGTAACCTGGGGGTTATTTTTAACTCGTCCCCCTTCGTTGCCGCACACATGCAGGCCATTTCCAAATCCTGCTACTACTTCCTTTTCAGCATCTCCAAAATTCATCCTTTTCTCCATCCTTAGAGACAAATCTCTCATTACATTCTGTCTTGATTACTGCAACAATCTCCTCTGGCTCCAAACACACACCCTGACCCACTTCAGTCCATACAAACCTGATCTTTGCCTGTTGTTTTGATCATGTAACACGCCGTTTCGAATCTCTCCATTGGCTTCCCATCTGACATAACAAATTTTAAGATTCTTCACACCTTCAGAGTTGTACATAACTCTGTCCCTCCCCGCTTATCCTTCCTTGTCAAACTTTGTTTGGTCTCACCCCCCCACACCCTTTTTGTTCCGCTATTGCTCCCAAACCTCATCCATTTGATTTGTGAGCATCTCTCACAATCCCCTTCCATGCATTCCCTGATGCATAGTACAATCTCCCTGCATTTGTCTGCAGGGTCATCCTTAGGGGGTGCGGGGTCCGGGACAAATCAGCCCCCCCCCCCCCCCCCCGGTCGGCGCGCAGGGCCAGGAGCCCGGGAATGCTGCAGCACCCCACCCCACCCCCGCACTCCTAGTTCCTGCACCTATGTCTTCCGGTACTGACTGCTGTGGCCAATCGCACCAGGCTGCAGGGCCCCCCAAAGAGCGGGGCCTGGAGTGGTCGCCCTGATTCGCCCTACCCAAGGGATGGCTCTGTTCATCTGCGCCCTGCTCTTATTCCCTCTTAAAAAACTCCTGCTGTGCTGCTTATTGCAAATCAAGCTGAAATGGATATAACATGTACATTGTTTATCTCCTTCCCTGATCTCAGTCTGTTTACGTTGTCAGTACCTAGGAACGGGGCAGTGCTCAGTCAGAACTAATGAAAAATCTCAGTGCAACAGCAGCTCCAGAAAAATATGAACCCTATAAGTGTGGAAGACTGACTGACAAGCACTTTCAACCCAGATTGTACAGCTAAGGGGAAAAGGGCGGGGGAGAAATCATGCAAGAAAAATAGACCTCGTCCAGCAGGAAAAACTTGCTAAAAAGTCCACTTGCATCAGTCCCAGCTCCTCCTGAGAGAAAGGTGATGCAAAAAGATGCAGTGCCTAACTTTAAGCACTGAAATAGGCCTCCAAGGAAGATTGCGGAATCCCCACATCATTGAGCTTGAAGAACAGGTTAGACCAAACACCTGTCAAGTATAATCTAGGTTTACTTGTTCCTGCTTCAGCACAGGGGCCTGGATGCATGATGACCTCTTGAGATCCCTTCCAGCCCACATTTCTATGATACTATCCTGTCTTACTGCCTTATCATCCCAAACCAGGCCCATTAAGGCCAAGGTTGGTGATCCCAACCTGAAAGGCCCGAAGACACTTCATGGAGGAAGCAGCATTCTGTCTCTGCGAACAGAGCTTGCAACTATCAGTGACAAAGAACAGGCCACAGGCCAGAAACATCCATCCTTTCCCAGGAGGAATATATGCTTAGCCAAAGTTAGTCAAGTAAAAGAAGCTGGGGCATCAAGCAGTGACGGTATGGGATGCATCTCAATCAAATTAACAGGTCAGTGGGCATAGTGATGCTTGTCTCTTGCTTACAATCAACTATTTTGCCCAACACACTTTGTCTGAGGGTGTATGCTTACTAGGGTAGCCTGGATATCTTGTTTTGAACTAAAGATTGGGAGTTCCTTTTGAAGCATTGTGCAGAGGACCTGAACTGGTATAGGGCAGATGCTTGATGGAATGATAGAGAGGCACTCTTTAGTCCACAGTAGCTGGGCAGGAATATTGCATCTTTTTGCTTAACTTCCCACTGTGGAAGCCCCTCCCACAAAGTTTTCTTTGCTGTGAGACTGGCACAGGACATTTGGTTGCAGCAACTTAGGGTATGTCTACACTTACCTCTGGAGCGATCGATCCAGCAGGGGTCGATTTATCGTATCTAGTGAAGACACGATAAATCGACCACCGAGCACTCTCCCATCGAGTCCGGTACTCCACCGGAATGAGAAGCATAGACAGAGTTGACAGGGGAGTGTAAGCAGTCGACCTACTGCAGTGAAGACACCGCGGTAAGTAGATCTAAGTACGGCGACTTCAGCGATGTTATTCACGTAGCTGAAGTTGCGTAACTTAGATCGATCCCCTTGCAGTATAGACCAGGGCTCAGTTTTTCTTCCTGGACTAAGTTATTTTTCTTGCATTATTTTTCCACCTCTGGTACAGCCCCTGGGCAACATTAAAGGTGCTTGCTGGCACTCAGTCATTTACCCTTCAATTGTTTTGTAGCTTACTGAGGCTGCTATTTCGGTCATGTTTTCTATTTAGAGGAACACAAAGGGACATAATCTTGTTTGTACAGGAGCACTGATACACTACATGGAGTTTTCTGAGAAGAACCACCAAATACAGTGGGTTGTGATGTTGCTCTTTTTAATGTAGACCAATAACATTTCCCCAACTATGCAAATGCCCTGGTACAAATGTCTAAAAAAATTAACTTTCACTCCTGCATGGACTTCAGATAATTTGCTGTTGTCTTTACATATGCCAGAGGGGGGTGGGATTGAAAATCATGTGGGAGACTAAATGAAGTACTTCACTGACTGACAGCAATTGCTTTAAATGTTATTTTAAACATTGTTTTATATTGCTGCTAGATTGCATGTGACTTCTGGAAAATTTAAACAAAATTTAAACAAAGAATTGTTTGTTAAAGAACCCGAAGGGTCAACTGCCTTAATATGGAGAAAGACAAGGGACATGCAATCCATCTGTCCTAGAACTTAACTACAATTTTTGTAAAACATGCTTAGAAAAAGGCAGGGCTTCCTGAAGTGTCCTTTGATAGTTGCAAAAAGGCAGGCTGGGGAGGACAAGCAAATGACCAGAGAAGGAAAAAAAGGAAGTAGTAAAGAGCAGGGAGGAGGTAAGAGACAAGGCTATAACAATCACTAACTGTCGACAGAAACTACCAAATAGCTTGTTCAAGAAGAGAAGAGGGAGAAAACACTGTTAACATTGTAAAAATAAAGATAACCTAGAAGGATTTACAATCACTCAGAAGATTTTTTTTTTTAGCTGATTGTTCAGTTTTAATCAGGACTAAAAGCTGTTACACCATCAACTGAATTCACATACAGATCCACCTACATGCTTTTGTACTGTAGCATATTCTCATAGATGCCCACTTCCTCAGGTTCAATATTTAATTTAAACTTCCAATCTAATGGTGCAATGAGTCATTTCCTAAACGAAATTGCTGTTCTAATAATTCACTGGATAAGATGTATTTAAAATGCTTCACTCAGAAAGCACAAAACTAATTGTCCTAGCCAATATTAATTCATCATGAGAACAGTTTTATCAGACTTATTGGAGAAGTGCAGAATTTATCTTGGGATTGGCCTTTGGATCTTTCCCATTCAGTTCTTCTCTGCAAACAGGCCACTACTCTAAGTTATGGGGAAAAATAATATGTAGAGTTATCAAATTGATTTACTGTGTGTTAGTCCAGAAGACCACCACCAAAGCCATTGCCCACATTAATTCCCGATCCAAAAGCGGTGCAAGGTGCCAAAGACAGCAACAGTCATGTTTCTACCTTCTGCTGATTTTGTTTCCTTACCTGGAATCTCCCTCCCCGCTCCTCCCCACCACCACCAGAAAGAAAAAATATTTAATTCCTCCTCTCTATTTGTCTCTCTTCTTCCCCTCAATCACCTCCACCTTTGTCTGTCTCTCTCGTTGTTCCTCTTCTTTCTCGGTCTCCTTTTTTATTTCTCTCCTTTCATCTTTTAGGGTCAGGCTAGCAACTGCAGTAGATTTTTTTTTAAAAAGTTATATTCTTAGAGAAAAATGTCTTATCTGGAGGGCTGGCTGCAGAATGGAATGGAATGGATTAAGACTGGGCAACAGTCAGTCAGTTTAAGACTGCAGATAGCTCTGTTGATGAAGTTCGTCTGAGAAAGTTCAGCACTATTCCATTTCTGCTCCTAGCACCAAGAATACTGTGGATGGAGTCAGTTGAACAAATTCTAAACCCCGATTAACCACAGGTGAGCAGAATACCAATTTGTTCACCACCAATGTCATGTGATATCAGATAATTACTTAATTTGACCCCTTTGGGTATGTCTACAGTGCAATAAATGACACGTGGCACAGCCTCAGCGGGGCCAGGTCAGCTGACTTGGGCTCACGGGGCTCACGTTGCAGGGCTATAACATTGCAGTATTGCTGTCCAGGCCTGGGCTCCAGCCGGAGATGGAATGTCCACACTACAACTCTACAACTTGAGCCCTGCAAACCTGCGTCACCTGACCCAGGCTCTGAGACTCAGTGCCAGACATTTTTTATCGCAATATAGACATATCCTAGGAGTTATCTTTGTGTAGCTCTTGCTACAAGAGTGTATGTATTTTAAACTAGAACATTATATTAGGAAATCCTGTTTCCTAGCACCAAGGAGTTATTATAAGCGCTAAGTACCAGAGCTTAACACTTAAGCAAAAGCGCGTGATGTGAATAGTAGCTGTGTTAAAATACCAAGCATCAGACTACAAATAAAATTCTGGTTAGAATGTAGTAAATGGTTGTAACTGCTAAATGCACCTTTTAAAAGCAATCCATTTTATCAGCACATTCATATGCTTTTTAAATCAAATAAAATGATTTCAATGGCCTCTTCCTTACCAGCAGTGGCTGAGAGTAAAGTTCAAGCTGTGCTCTGTAAATTATGTCATCCAATACCTCCTGGCCAAGACCCCACTGTCCATTATATCTACAAAACAAAACAACAAAACAAAACAAACAAGACATTTATTATTTAGTACTTTTTGAACCCAAACCCTTCTCTTTGTATCTACAAAACATACACTAACAAAGCTTAAAGGAATAGATGGAGCACCTCAGTTATTATTCTAATTTATATTACAACTAATTGTTCCCTCCCATCTCCCAGCCAGAAGGATGTTATCATGGTAAGGATCACAGTAAAGAAGGGTGGAGGGGCACCATTCGAAAATTACATTACTTGGTATAATTGTTTTGGATTCATGTGTTTAGGCTAACCTAGTGGCTTCATGTCACACTGCCATTCCAGGGGACCCAGGTTTACAGTTACCTGGAAGCTTGCAAACATTACACTGGTGAAGAGAAGGGATACTGTGGAAGTGACATCCCTGGGAAAGAAGAGGAAGCGAGGAGCACCACTCTTCAGCACCCAGCGCTGGTAACTGAATGCTGATAAAGGCATTCCCAAAATGTCAGCTGGCCAAGATCGCAAGTCAAAGGAAAATAAGGGAGATAAAGCAGTTGATCCTCAAATGAAGTAGTGGCTTAATTCATGTTTTCATGCATAAAGACAGAGAGAAAAAAGGGTATTTTAATTCACTAGAAGCCATTCAGCTCTTCTTCTTCCAAACTCCACCTACTTACATGGCATAATAGACACCTGTGAGCAGTTGCACCATGAAGTCAGGATCTAGTACCACTCTGTTACAGAATTCTTTCCAGCGTTTCTCATGCTGCCGAGGAAATCCACTCACGCAAAGCCTGGCAAAACATAATACAGAATCAAAACTCTGACCTCATGAACACTTTAAGAAAACTTGCTTTACATCCATTAAATGTGATACACTCAGGTGATAAGCTCTGATTATTCTGCCAAACATTAACTGTTCAGTTTCTTGCTGCAAAGTCTCAAGTCAGCTCTTGATGCTTTTAGCAAGTATCTTCACAGCAGAGCCTTGAAACATCGGCCATAATTCCAGTAGTCTGACTCCAAACACACTTATTCACAATAGCTTGGGTGAAATCACCAATCAGCTAGTTTTGAGTGTGGGAGACAGAACTTTCTCAGAAGCTAGCCAGAAGATGTGAGAACAACAGTGAATGTGCCTCAGATAGAATGTTTAGTTTAATGCTACAGAACAGAGAGCTTATCTCCTCTGTAACATACTGTTACATATTAATAGGTGAGTGTTTCATTTCAAAAAATAAACTGGGGAAAACAAAGTTGCTTTCTTTATGAAAAGAACTATTATTTCAAATGGCATCTTTTTATATTGCCAGCTCCTTGGAGCAGAGGCTTTGCCTTCCCCACATCCAGTTCAGGGCTGGTGCAATGATATTTTGCTAGGCGAAGCTTTCACCTTGCAGCACCCCCCCGCCCCCCCGCACATTGGTTCATTGAGGGGCAAATCCCAACGAGCCTTTATAGACCCCATGGGCCAGTCATGCCCAGAGGCTACTCCATAGACCAGGTTCCCCCCTCTCCGCCCCCTGAATTCCCCTGGAGGGTGCACAGCCCCCCCACGAGCCCTCCCCACCCCACCCCGGCGGTCCCCGCCCCAAGTCCACTCACTGGCTTTGCTGGGCTTGGGCCACTGCAGCAGCTCGGCAGGGAGAGCCAGAGCATCGGCTTGCGGTGGCGGCGAGCCCCAGCTATGGAGGACCAGGCGCGGCGCAGGGGGGCAGCAGCCCTATAAAAGCGGTGGCACAGCTAGCGGGGAGCAGCAGCGTCCCCTGCCCCTCCTGCCCAGGCTGCAACCGGGCACACCCCCCCCGGGGCTCCTACAGGGTGCAGCGGATGCAGGCCCGCCATATATCCCCCGGCTGCCCCCTCGCCCTGCTCGGGCCATGAGGCTCCCAGGCACGTGAGCCGCCACCGGGGCGCAGAGCCCTGAGCCTGCTCCAGGAGGGGCAGCGGTGGCTCACATGCCCAGGAGCCACAGAACCCAAGGGTGGTGAGGGGTAAGCCGGGGGTGCGCCTGCCCAGGCTGCAACCCACCTGGCACCCCCCCAGGGGCTCCTGCAGTAGATACATGTGGGCTGCAGCCCCCGTTCGCCTCCCGGCTCCCCCTACCACGCTCGGACTCTGGGCATGTGAGCCACCGCTGCCCCTCCCGGAGCAGGCTCAGGGCCCTGCGCCCCGGTGGCAGCTCACGTGCCCGGGAGCCTCATGGCCCGAGCACGGCGAGGGGGGGGGTGCGCGTACCGGGCCACAGCCTGGGCAGGAGGGGCTAGCGGTGCCGCCGCCTTTGCAGGGCTGCTACCCCCCTTTGCTGCGCCAGCTCCTCCATAGCTGGGGCTCACCATCCCCGCAAGCAGACGCTCTGGCTCTCCGGTGCCTCTGGAAGGTGTCTCCTCCCTGCCGAGCCAGGGTAATGCTTTTTTAGGGTTACCATATTTCAACAATCAAAAAAGAGGACCGGGGGGAGAGCCCCACCCACATCCACTCCCTCCCACTTCCTGCCCCCCTCAGAATGTCCAACCCCACCCCCACCCCCCGCTCCTTGTCCCCTGGCTGCCCCCTCCTGAGACCCCACCCCCTACCTAAGCCTCCCTGCTCCTTGTCCCCTGACTGCCCCCTCCTGAGACCCCCCTCACCCTATCTGCCCCCCTAGAACCCTACCCCCTACCTGTCCCCTGGCTGCCCCAACCCTTATCCACACCCCCAACCCCAGACAGACCCCTGGGACTTCCACGCCCCATCCAACCACTCCCCGCCCCCTGAGAGACCGCCCCAGAACTGCCAACCCATCCAACCCTCCCCCTGCTCCCTGTCCCCTGACTGCTCCAATCCCTCTCCCCACTCCCACCCCCTAACAGGCCCCCCCAGAACTCCCGACCCATCCAACCCTCCCCCCGCCCCCGACATCCCCCCCGGACTCCCCTTACCACCATGTCGCTCCAGCCGCTGGCTCCATGAGGGACCAGAACAAACAGGCTGCGGAGCCCACAGCCCCTCCCCCACAGCGTGCTGGTGATGCGATGCTGAGGCAAGGGGAGGGGAGAGCGGGGGAGGGACTCTGCCTGCTGGAGGCCAATAGGAGCGGCTAAATCAGGCCCAGGCGCCCAATCAGCCACTCCGCACTCTGCGTGAGGGGAAGGGAGGAAAAATCTCAGGCGCCTCCAACCACTTGGCACCCTAGGCGACTGCCTAGTTCGCCTAGTGGTTGCACCGGTCCTGATCCAGTTCAGTGCTGAAGCACATCATATATATTCAACAAATATAATCACCACTTTTATTTAGAGCTTTGAGATCTGAATACCAAACAACATGGAAGCTGAACACAACTATTCTAATGTATTTAATGCAGAAGTATTTATTCTTTACACTCACATCAAGGATTTCTCAGGCAAAGAGCTAATGTAACAAGCATTAGCCCTTAAGAGCAAGCAACACAATGGAGCCTAGGGGCTGATGATAAACATCTTAGCTCTTTCTTGCGTCAGACATTTCAATGCTCAACTTTTACAATGAGTTTTACAAAATATTGGGTCTGGAAATTTCTATGAAGGTTCTGGACAAAGCTGGGAAAAGGCTGTATAAACACTTAACTCAAGCAAAGGGCACAGTGATGATATTGATAATGACAGAGGAAGGTATTGAGAATGCCAATCTTCCATTTAAAAACATTCCTTTTGGCCAGCACTGCACCACATAAAATCCTCTTTTCAGTAAATACTGTAAATGGCATTTTGTACCACTTGCCCAGAAGAGACCCTAGATGCCTGAATATTTATCTCTCTCTCATAACAAAAATATGAGGGAATGAATCTGGCTAGAGAATAAGATAACCACTGTTTAATATACAGAATCATCTAGCCTAAAATACTAAAATAATTTAATCTCCAGTTTGCTTGTTCTAATCCAATCCAGACACAAAATCTATTATTCAATATGTGTTTAATGGCCTACATAAAACTTATTGGTAGTCCAGTCCCTTCCTAGTGGGCAAGGAGAGATACGGACAAAAACTGATAGCACACATGGCACTAACGGGCAACTCTGGGCAGAGAAAGTCAGGAATGAATGGGTATGAAGATCTAACCAACCTCTCTCATCATTGTGCCAGTGTTCTTCCAAGTCAGTAGTGAGGAACTTTGGAAGGAGCCAGGAGGGGAAATTTCTATGTAATTATTCTGTGAATAGCTAGGGAACTTTTTTCCAGGTTTATGAGCATAAATTCAGACACAACGGGGAAAAGGAAACTCAATGTTTTACAGACTAGCATGTCAAAATGATGCTGATGGAAAGGAGGTGGTTCCTAAACTGACTTCTGAAAGGGTTTCTTTAAGGGGAACTTGCAAATGTTTATACAAGTGACAGTTCCTCACTCAAGGTTGTTTGCAATACAAGAATAAGGACAGACACTCACATATTTGTATTTACAACATATTCCTGTAGGTAAAACACGTATTCAGGAGGAAAAATGAAATGTTGAAGAGACCATTATCCAGGGCAGATTATGATCATTAGGTAGCAGGAATACTCAGGTTTATAAACGTCAGACCCAGATTATCCCAGGATTCAAGTGACAAGGAAAATTGGAAATCCATTGCATGGATTTCAGAAATGTCATGGAGGATAAGAATAGCAGTCAACTAGAGAACAGTGCACTTGTGCCCTTGGCCTATCAGTTTCCTCATCTTTTTAAGAAGTGGGTGTTATCAAGGTGTATGTGGTTTAAGCTGGCTGCTATTGTTAGTCTTGATGGTCTTACTAGGTAAGGAAGGCTTTATTATTTTAATGGGTTTGTTTTGTAAGTGTTTTACTGTAGATTCACTTAGAGCAAATGTTTGGGTGCTTTAAAGTGTCAAAAATAATTTAATAAGTGTAGCAATCATTTAAGAAAGAAAATAGGTTAACCCAGCAAGCATCTACAAACCTGGAGGTCTAATTTCAGCTATGGGTGAAAGGAAAAAAGGAAAACCAAGCACTGCATCAAAGGTACAACTTGCATGAGATGAAGAGCAGATGCCATAGTTCTGAGGTATGGCTTGTTTCTTAGCTTCTTGTTCCCGGCTTTGTTAGGAACAAATTGTCAACATGCCAAAATATAAAATTATTCCACCAAACAACTTGTTCTTTACTCCTAAGGCCTCTGCCTCATATCCTGCTATCTCTAGAAAATATGTTGACTGGGAACCTGAACATCAAGACATGAAAGTGCACTGACTTGAAGCCTTGCTGCACTTCAGCAGAGACTGGATAATGTAACGAAATAGTTGTATCATACTGAACCAATTTCTAATTAACTTCAGGATGCTGCTACAAGATTAATGGAGGAGCTGTTATTTTCATACAGCAAAATTGGAATATGCCTCCCACTGACAAACTACATGTATTTAGATAGGAAGATTTACTCAGGAATAACCAACCCACTTGGTCATTTGCCACAGACTATTCAGCTGAATTTTGGGTGGAGTTTAGTGGAGACATGCACTTAGAAAAGCAAAATCCTTGGAAGTTAAATACAAGAAATACAGGAAAATCCACGGGGCATTAGATTTTCCAAGACTACTCTCTGTATGCAGATGTGGTCGCCCCATCTCAAAAAAGATATATTGAAATTGGAAAAGGTTCAGAAAATGGCAACAAAAATGATTATGAGTATGGAATGGCTTCCGTATGAGAAGAGATTAATAAGACTGGGACTTTTCAACTTGGAAAAGAGACGACTAAAGGAGGATATGATAGAGATCTGTAAAATCATGACTGGTGTGGAGAAATTAAATAAGGATGTGTTATTTACTCCTCATAACACAAGAACTAGGGGTCAACAAATGAAATTAATAGGCAGCAGATTTAAAACAAACAAAAGGGAGTATTTTTTCACACAACACAGTCAACCTGTGGAACACTTTGCTAGACGATACTTTGAAGACCAATACTATAACCGGGTTCAAAAAAGAACGACATAAGTTCATGGAGGATAGGTCCATCAATGGCTATTAGCCAGGATGGGTAGGGATGTAAACCATGCTCTGTTTGCCAGAAGCTGGAAATGGGTGACAGGGGATGGATCACTTGAGGATTACCTGTTCTGTTAATTCCCTCTGAAGCACCTAGCATTGGCCACTGTCGGGCTAGATGGACCATTGGTCTGACCCAACATGGCCATTCTTATGTTCTAACTTCCCTTTGAACTTCAATCACAAAGGTATGTATTATAGATTCAGCCATATGGGAACATATGCAATGTTCTTTTCTCATACCACCATCCATTTGTAACACGGTTAACTGTAAATTGTGTTAGAGAGCAGTAATGGAACATTTGTAAGGTTGCAATTCATAAGTTTCATAACAAAAACCTTGTGAGAAGTTTAACAAAGGCAAGTTTCTGTTATTGTGGTACTCTGGGATTTTATAGGACGTTTTAGGTTTGTACTTGAACACTGAAATTTGAAGAAATATGGTACATTTCTACATATTAACAAATTCTAAATCAAGGAATGTTAAGAAAAAACTTTCCCAGATTTATAAATGGAAAATCACGCCTGACAAATTTCTGCACATTACTTGCATTGTTGCACAAGATGAAAGAGTAGACATGATTTACCTAAATTTCATAAAATACTTTAATAATGTATCACAGAACAGAGTGACTTACAAAGTTAGAAAGGAAGTATGAGAAAGGAGATCACAAAATTGGTTTAAGGACAGGAAACAGAAGATGCCAATGAAAAGGAGCCATTCAGGATGGGGAGTGATGAGTGGGGTGATATAACAATCAGTTTTAGGATCACTTACTTCAAATATGTATACAAGTGACTTTTGGGGTATAGGGGACAGAGTATCATTTCAAAACTAGTTACATGCACTGAAAGAAAAAATCAGAAGGCTTAGAGGTAAGCATTATTTATTGTTTATGCAGAAGTGTACTAAGCACTTTATAGAAGTAGTAAAACTCAGATTTCTGCCACAAATGTCTAAAATCCAGGTGATAAATTATGATAAAAGAAGTGGGGGTAGCAAACAAACAGAAGGAGATGGGAAAGGGTGAGCTAAGATAAGAGAATAACAATTTACACAATTACTGGTTTGCACACCTTGATAGCCACATGACTATTTTTAGCTCACTTCTTGTAGGCAACAATGCAGAAGCTAGTTTTTAGGGAGGGACAGGGAGAAGATGGTGCACTGGTGAACAGGAGTTTGGAGGCTCTCCACATATGTGTGAAGTGTATATATAGTAGAACCGGATTATAGTCAACTTGGATGCAGGAAAGCTCAGTTTATGGTGAAACTGAATAAAATTTTCAAACTATTTCAATGTGCAAATTACAATTCCAGTTACGGGGCACCATTTTCCATAGTGAAATTATTCAGTGTTAAAATTCAGTCCATTGTTATAGGTTTTATTCTACTCTATATCTGAAGAAAGGAAACATTTAAAATGTAAAGAAGTATAGTACACTTGGCCAAACTCAGCCCTGGTATAACTCAACTGAAGGTGACAGAAGCATATCAAGGAAAAATTCCATTTTGAGATTTAGGAACAAAGGAATTGTAGAAAGAACAAGTAAAAGAAAAGAATAGACTAGGAACATAAGAACAGCCATACTGGGTCAGACCAAAGGTCCATCTAGCCCAGTATCCTGTCTCCGACAGTGGCCAATGCCAGGTACCCCAGTGGAAATGAACAGAAACAGGTAATTATCAAGTGATCCATCCCCTGACACCCATTCCCAGCTTCTGGCAAGAACCCTTGGTGGGAGTACGTATTGTGTTCTAATGGAGTATAAACTGATAGAAGCTATTTTGATCCTGCTGTACACTGGGAAAAACAATATCTGCATTGTGTATAATGCTTGTCAGCAATTTACAGGAAATACACTGCTGAAGCTGACAAGGCATATAAAAAAAACAGAGAAAAGGATTCTGCTGCTTCGTGAGTATGTATTATAGAGAAAGATTAGCCACCCATGGCCTGTTTGTTTTAGCATAAAAAGCTGGTACAAAGGAGAAGATGTGTAGGGGTATCAGAGATATTTAAGATTCTAGAACAAAAAAGAGCTTTTATGTCAACAAGCTGTTTTAAATACTACTCAAGTAAGAGGTCATGGAAAGGATGGGTATAAAGAATGAGAAATGATGGCACAATTTCTCCAAGTGTAGTGTTGTTATGAAACAAATTGTCAAAATGCTGTTCAAGTCAGTCATCCAAACCAACTCAAAAATAAATTGGACTAATATTCAGAAGAAGAGGAAATAGGTGGTAGGTTACTGGGTCACTATAAAGAGATGCAGTTCATTTGCCTTTACTGCAGGTCTTGACACACTACAATTTTTACTATTAATGTTCCACAAAGCAAAACATTACAAGACCTAGAACTAAAGCAAATGCAACTGATATACAATCAATGCATTGTTTTCGTATGCAAAAACAGCATTATGTTTCCAATTAAATTATGATCTGTCAAGTTACCAGAGAGGAATGAGTAAACCCATTCTCTTTCTTTGCATATTTATAACGCTAGGAATGTTCCTTAAGCATGAGATCCTCACCTGGAACCCATCCTGCAAAGTGACTGATAGGAGGAGGCAGGCATGTAGACAATAGCAGAGTTGTAGCACAGCATGAGAAAGCCGAGCACCTCAAACCTGAAGACAGACAAGAACATGAGACAAAAGAAACTACATGGATTCAGATTTTTAATAGTCCACCAGAAGAACTTAAAAAACATTGTTAATGGTTCACTTGCAGGACAAGATGGCATCAGAAATACAGTACATCAGCCTGTAGGTATCGCTCTTCCATTTTAATTCACTGACTAGAAATAGTCTATCAAAAGACTCAACATTAAATACTTTAAAAGGCATGAGATGTAACAGATTACTACCCTAATGCTACTGCACTGTATGGAGGAATAATGCAACAAGCTATTTTAGAATATATGGTCGAAGACAGATAGGAAAAGTTTGCATTTCCCATAAATTATTTTAACCTAGTCTATGTCTGCCAATCAGCCTTCCAGACTGCTTGGCGACACCACTGGCAGAAATGGATCTGATGGAGAAATTATTTATATCTAATGAATTAGTAACAGACTTACAAGCTCTAAATTGTAAGAGAAGAGCCAAACAGGTAAGGTACTCACTGTATACAGGCCTATTGACCCGATGTTGTTTTACGCTTCAGACTAATGAAGTATCTACCGCTTGACTACTCACCTGTTCTGTGCAGTGAATGTTTCTCTCTGAGGATGAAGATCACTATAAACCACCCTGATGAGGTCATGTTGACACAGGGCTCCCTCAGTCAAAGCCATGGATCCAATAGTAGAAGGCTTGGGTGGGAAAGGCATGGGGAAAATAAAAATAGAAAATGCTACCATAAGAAGGATCCAAAACCCATGAAATTTTATCTAGAAAAAGTTCTACTTCTCCCTTGTGGTAATCAGTAAAACAGCTAAAGATTATTCCTAAAATATCTTAAAGGGACACAGTCAACTTAAGCCAATCACACTTGTGTCTGAAATGATTTACATACTGGTAAGTGTTGTTGGTTTGAATAAAAATTAAGTATACTAGCATTGAAGGATTAGAGAAATAATATTTCATTTTCGTTACCTTTTATATTTTGTGTCTAGTCAGTTTCCCTGTTTCCCATATTGTTTCAGGCAACAATAGGGAGAGAAAGCATAAAAAAATAGGATTGCAAAACCAAGAAACATTGACAGGGAAAATCAGGAGGAATACTTGAGGCTACTTTTAACTCACATTTTAAAATTTCAAGTTGACTCTGTCCCCCTCAAAATGACAAAAGCAGCAGAATAATTCAGTTTCAACTACATGCAAATAGCCTGCATAGATCAACACCCAAGAGCAACACTTTCAACTCAATGCATAGAGCACTAGTCACAAAACACCCACTAATACTAAATAAGCTGCGGCATATCAAGGCCCTCCATTTTGTTTGGAGAACTTAATAGACCTTGATTTTGGGGACTGAGGTATATCTGGTGCCACATGAAAATGGGGGAAATAGTGGGGGTATGTGCTATGCAACCTGCCCGACATCAATAGATGTCCAACTGCTGTCTGTGAAGCATGTGCTGGTGGTCTATAACAAGCTGGCTGGTCATATGAAATATGCTGCAGCCAACCTCTATACATGGAGTCTTGTGCCACTTTGTCAATGTGGTCTCTATCAGTCAATGGTGCATGCTGTCGATGAGTTCAACTAACCAGACTTCATGGTGGCCTTAGGCCCCTTCATTCTGTGATGGGGCCTAAATGGCTGTCAGGTGACTCAGCAAGCACTGCAAATGCTAGAAGATGAAGGGTTATATGGTGCTGGCTCTTTTGTTTCCAGTTATTAAATTGTATTAATACACTTTCAGTCATCACTTTTCCGTGTTAGAAATTGCTGTCATTGCCTTAGGGATATTATGTGATTGCAAATAGGATGAGAGGTTGTTTCCCAAGACGGCAAATAGAAGGAGCATGTAGTTCACAAGCAATTCCTCTAATACAGCGTTTCTCAAACTTCATTGCATTGTGACCCCCTTCCGACAACAAAAATTACTACACTGCCCCAGGCAGGGGGACCGAAGCCTGAGCCACACCGCCCCAGGCAGGGGGCCCAAACCCAAAGTCTGAGCCCTGCCGCCCGGGGGAGGTAGGGGGCAAAGCCAAAGCTTGAGGGCTTCAGTGTTGGGCAGGGGGGCTGTAACCTGAGTCCCGCCACCCAGGGCTGAAGCCCTCAGGTTTCGGCTTCAGCCTTGGGCGGTGGCGCTCTGATTTCAGCTTCAGGCTTCACAAAGTCTAACGCCAGCCCTGGCAACCCCATTAAAACAGGGTTGCGACCCACTTTGGGGTCCTGACCCACAGTTTGAGAACTGCTGCCCTAGTAAGAAGGGGTTCAATGTTTAGAAAAAGTTTGAGAACTTCTGCCCTACATAGTTCCAGATGCAACAACGCATCTCAATACTGACCTGCAACATCTTTTATTTAAATCCTGGGTGTCTCATATGAAAATCAAAACCTATGTTAATTTTACAGTGATTTTGTGATGTGGCTACACCTCTGCTAGGGACTAGACTGAGACCACAAATTCACTTTTACATTAGCGTATGCAGGATTTAAACCCAGTGTTCAGAGGAAGAAGCCCAGTGCAGTAATACATTGCGCCTTTCACCTCACACATTAGTAATTTACACGACAGATGTAATATCGCTGAAACTTATCGCTGACTGTTATTCAGATATATTTTAGACTGCAAAGAGCTATCAATTAGAAGAGGACTGTGTCCATTTTTACACATAAAGAGAAAAGTGGAAGAAAATAACTTACCACTGCTTTATGTCCTCGACATAGCTATTTACTAAGAAATGTTTGTTTTTACCTCCAACCCTGAAGAACAGCCACTGTTGGCAAAAAAATCTTAGAGTGGAATCCTATTCGTATTCAGGTCACCGAGAGTTTTGCTACTGACTTCAGTGGGACCACGATTTCACTAGTGATATCTTAGTATGACACATTTAATATAAAAAGAGAGCCAAATAAATGAAAATCCACTTGAAACTAATTCTAAGGAAAACACTGCTAAATAAGGGCTAATACAGGCACATTGTGTGCTGCAGGCTACTACAAATCAGCTCATGAGTCATAGTATGGGATCAAAGTTCTTCAGTTTCCACTTTCCTCCACATTCCCAAAGCTCCCACCACAATGCAGCGTTTATGGAACATGTGTAGTGCTCCCTGCTCATCAACTACAGCTGGTCATCTCCATCTCGCTGGAAACAAAGTTATGGTAGCACTAAAACACAGGAACAAGCTGAGTTGGGCAAAGGAGGATTTTTAAACAGATAAATAGTACGTACAGCAGAACAATGTAGTTTAATTTGGGGATCATTTTGTTCCAGTATTTGATAAGGTAGAACCATGCTTTAAATATGCTAACAGCATCCAAGCAGTAGACATGTGAAAGGATGGGAATCTGTAAATCAGTGAAAAACTGAAAACAAATGGAACAAAACATAACATATCAGATGGAAGTATTTCATTATTCACCTTGAAGACTTACCTTCCCCATCTTCTATTATGCCTATTGTATTAAATTACACTTTTGCAAGAATTTACCCTTGAAAGTTCAATGAAGAAAGATGCACTGAATGGATCCAATTTTAGTTCTTATTGGACCCAGTTCCAACTTACCACCACAGTTGCACTCTTACCTCATGGTATATTGACGGCTTGGATAATGAAGGGATGGTGAAAGATAAAACTTTGTTGTTCCCATCTTTGTCAGCAATTTCCTACAGCAGAGAAAGAGACATGAGGGAACTTGGTTTTGGACTCTTGTGATTATACCACACAGACGTTAAAAACATAAATCATAAAGTAAGGCCCCGATCTTGCAAAGTGATTAATCTGCACAGGCCTTTATGCCTGTGGCACAGTGCCACGAAAGTCAATGGGACTGCCTCCACTATAATAGATTGCTTTGCAAAATCAGGGCCTAAGAAAATTCATAGAAGAGTATTTGTTCTTTTTGTGACCATGACTTTCTCAGACCTTTAGGAAAGGATTAAAAGATTTTTCTAGTCCTACCTCTAATTTATAAAGCATAGAATTACATAGTGAAACAAGACTGATGCTGAACAGCCAAAGGAATATATATGTATTACTGCTGATGAGTCATTTGCTAGCAATTGGTAATGCCTCTTGATAAACCCATCAAAAGGGAAAAGGTGAAAATGAGGGGACTGATTTCTGCAAGTACTGTGGCAAAGCAGTAAAGGACATATAGAATATTTTGAATACATCTTTCACGTCAATAAAAGATGCATTTGCATATGGTGTGCTTGTGTTATAGCATAATAATTATAATTTATTAGAAGCAATCCTATAAAAATATGCCAGAGTCAGCAAACCCCATCTTTTCACGTTCTACAATAAAATTTCTAACACACTGAGTATGAGTCACTCTAGTTTCAGTGACAATCAATTGAAGGCAGTGTACCACTTCCACTTAGCTTCAAGGAACAGTGTGGAAACTAGAGTTGGCTGCACTGATAAAGCTGCTGTCTGTCTAGATTTAATTAGTTTCTCAAGCACTTTTTCACTCTAAAAACCAAAACAGTAATAAAGATAAGGAAGGATTTTTCTTTAATTTAAATCTGAGAATTTTTCACAGAGAAGATATCAGAAATATTATCCTTTAGCTCAGTGGTTCTCAACCTGTGGCCCAATTAGCACCCTGGACCCTGCTGCAAGCCCCTGCCGCTCTTTAGCACTGTTTGCTAAAGAGCGGCAGGGGCTTGCAGCAGGAGTCGGGGTCACTGCCCAACCCCTGTGGCAGGGTCCCAGGTCGAGGCTGCTCCCCGGCCCTACACAGCAAGGGTCAGGGTCGGCAGTGGGGTCGGGTGGGGGGTTGCCACCCGGCCCTGCACAATGGGCTCCCGCTTTGTGGTCAGGTCTGCTGCCCGGCCCCCACACAGCAGGATCCGGGGTTGGGGTCGGGGCTGCCACCTAGCCCCACTCAGCAAAGTCTGGGGTCGGGGATGCTGGCCTGCCCCGCATGACAGGGAGCACGGTTGGCAGCAGGGTAGGGACTGTCGCCCAGCCCCACACAACAGAGTCCAGGGTCCCTGCTGCCCAGTCCTGCCACTGGGGCTCCGCTCCTGACCCCACTCTGTGGAGGGGTCTATGGGCTGGGGGCACTGGGCATAGTGGTGGTGGGGGAGGATTTGGGAGTGTGACGGCGCCCTCCATAAGGCTTTATGGAAATATGCTTATGACATAATTGGAATATGTTCTGTGCTACATATGCCATGTAACATATCTATGTAAAGGTTATGATCTACTGAATCTATTAATCCTATTTGTATGCATGTATCATTTTTGTACTCAAAGTTATGAATACTGGCCGTGTACTGGCTTGATTTCTAAATAACCTTAGTAGAGCATTTGGTCAGTTCCTGGAGAAAGGAATTCACAAAGTTAAGTGCCCAATCAGGAAGCACTTAAGAAACAATGCATCTTGGAATGCTCCAATCCACATAAGAAGTCTTCCTGGAGACATTCAAGATACCATGTGGGAAAGAGCTTCTGCCTGTAAACACTGAGAGTCATGCATGGACATGTGATTTGCCCAGGTGACTCCAGAACTCCATCTTGGAGCTGGACTTTGCATAGAAGAGAAGAGGGGGTCTCCACCCACAAGAGAAAGTCTATTTAAGCCTGTGGGAGACCCCTCCATTTTGTCTTCAGCTGGCTAAAGAGAGAGCCTCTCCAACCCCCAGGATACCTGAAAGAAACTGGAACAAAGAACAGTAAAGGGGGTGTGAGTGATTGCTGGACCCAGTCTTGCAAGAGTCTAGTCTGTAAAAGGAAGCTTACTGGAACTGGTGAGATCTTATCTGTATTCCGTTTCTTACTGTTTTAGACATAGACTGGAGTGTTTTATTTTATTTTACTTGGTAATTCACTTTGTTCTGTCTGTTACTACTTGGAACCACTTAAATCCTACTTTCTGTATTTAATAAAATCACTTTTTACTTATTAATTAACCCAGAGTATGTATTAATACCTAAGTGGGGGCAAACAGCTGTGCATCTCTCTCTATCAGTGTTATAGAGGGCAAACAATTTATGAGTTTATTTATTTATTTAAACGGATTTATTTGGGTTTAGACCCCACTGGGTGTTGGGCATCTGAGTGTTAAAGACAAGAATACTTCTGTTAGCTGCTTTCAGTTAAGTCTGCAGCTTTGGGGCAAGTAATTCAGACCCTGGGTCTGTGTTGGAACAGACTGGCATGTCTGGCTCAGCAAGACAGGGTGCTGGGGTCCCGAACTGGCAGGGAAAGCAGGGGCAGAAGTAGTCTTGGCACATCAGTTGGCAGTTCCCAAGGGATTTTCTGTGATCCAAACCATCACAGGGAGGTTTTGTGGTTCTCAACCTGCAGCCCAGGTAACTCATTGCGGCCCACAATGATTAATAGGTTGAGAATCACTATTCTAGGTTCTTATTGACATCTGCAGCTGGGTGCCAAGATCCTTGTGTCTTCAGCTAGAGAAAAGTGTTGTTGAGTCACTCCCCATTTTACAACCTCTTCCTTCTATTTCAGTTTGGAGAGAATGTAGCAGCATTAGCTGCTGTGCTTATACACTGTGAATCATCCGACACGAGTTCCAGAAGGACCAGCTAAAGTGTTTTGATGAAAGCTGAAGCTAATGACAGATACTTACAACCTACTTCAGCCCAGCAGATAAAATTCAAAAGCTAGTAGCCAGATTCTGATATTGCTTACACCAGCATAAATCCAGAGTAACTTGACTTTACTGGAGTTAATGTGGATTTACAAGTGTCACTGAGATCAGAATTTGGCTCCATGTCTCACTTCCCAGGCGTATGAACATAAAGCACTCTATACTAACTCTAACGCACGGCTAAAAGAAAACTTGTTATAATGGAACAGAGAAGGAAAATATTTTAGGACAATTTGTGTTTTAAAGCCATGTAAAATTGAAATTCCCATTACAAGAAAGGGCATATGCTAACAATATTGCTAATTTACCATCCATGGCATATTGGCATAAAAATTAAGAATATAAATTTGTATGAGATGTATAATTTAATGTCCCTGACAGAATACTATTTTTGACAGCCTGAAATCATCCCTAAGATTTTGACATCCAAATTTAGGAGTCTACAGTGACTAACATTTATTATCAGAGGGGTAGCCGTGTTAGTCTGGATCTGTAAAAACCAACAGAGTCCTGTGGCACCTTTAAGACTAACAGATGTATTGGAGCATAAGCTTTCGTGGGTGAATGCCCACTTCGTCGGATGCATGTAATGGAAATTTCCAGGGGCAGGTATAAATATGCTGGCAAGAATCAGTCTGGAGATAACGAGGTTAGTTCAATCAGGGAGGGGGAGGTCCTCTGCTAGCAGTTGAAGTGTGAACACCAAGGGAGGAGAAACTGTTTCTGTAGATGGCTAGCCATTCACAGTCTTTGTTTAATCCTGATCTGATGACACCATTTATATTTATACCTGCCCCTGGAAATTTCCATTACATGCATCCGACGAAGTGGGCATTCACCCACGAAAGCTTATGCTCCAATACATCTGTTAGTCTTAAAGGTGCCACAGGACTCTCTAACATTTATGATGATGATGATTTTTTTTTTTATAGTCCCAGCCAAAAGATATTTCCCACCCATGCACAACTTGTGACTGAATGTTACTTTAGCCTCAATACTTCACCTTAAAAGGTCATTTGGAGTAACTAAATAGGAGAAGCCCAATATGGAAAGACTGAATAAGCATATTGTTCAGATAGGGCTATCAGCAAATTTCAACTCTTTATATATTTATACAGACTTACTAAATTCTTCCAGCAAGCATATTATACAGGGCAACAAAAAAATCTTAATTAAAAGATGTAATTGTTTACCATAATATGTTTAGTGCTGCGCTGAGGCAGTAAATCTGATTTACAAGCTACCAAAGATGCTTCTACAAACATGCTTTTTCTGAACACTCATTAAGTTATGCTTTCCTCTAGGATAAACAGACTTAAATGTAACTGCATTAATTCATTAGCATTTTTCATATTTTGCTCTGTTAATATTCCTGTGCCTTACTTTATTTCTACTGCTCACTGATTATCTTAAAGCTCTTCACACCCATCCCTCCTTATCTCACTTACCAAATTGTAAATCCCAAGAAGCAGTGCTTCAATGCAACCATTACTCTGTCTGTCCCTGCTGGCAGTAAGACGCAGATAAACCCAGATCAATTCTGGCAGGAACTGCAGCGTGAACCTCTTGAGTCGAACTTCAGAACTACGGTAGAGTTCAAAGAGCTGGTGGCAGACAGGTTCCAGGAGCTATAGAAAGAGAAAAAACAGCTCAAATGCCACTAATCTTGTGTATTAAAAAAATGCACAAATAAAACCACCACAACTGGCAAAACTGGCATTGTTGTTGGCAACCTTAGAGATGCCACAGATTGAATGGGCATGGAGACTAAGTTACCCACTCCCTGCTAAACATGGTCTTCAAGAATGGGGCTGAGGTACATTGATGAGGATTGTGATGAAGTTCGCACTACCTCAGCCCTTAATGTACCTGATCTGTGGCAGTTTCATCTTCCAACTCTGTCAATATGACACCTTTCTATAAGCACCAAGTTCTTTTACCAGTGAGATGATTTGAGCTGTGCAGACCATACAGTATGTTCATTTTGCAACCCCAATGCTTTAGAAAAATCTCAGGTGTGGAAAAAGAAATACTTATTAATGAAATAAGTCTATATCCAGTGTAAGGGTAGAGAGTGAATTAACCCTTTACCTAAGGTTTTTTAAAAAAAAAACACACACAAACAAGAAGGGGCGGGGGGGCATTTTTGTCAATGGTGGGCAAACTAATTTTTTAACAGATAGTCTTGATTTAATTTGGTTCCCTTCAAACTGAAAGGCTTTCTAGCACTAACTAGAGCTAGATTCAATACAAGTAGCCAAGATTCCCCAAGACCCTTATCAATTCAACTCGATATGGACCCACAAAAAACATGCATTCCAATAGCCAATTGTGCCTAATTGGCAGTTTTGTGATGTGCACAAAATGGTGAATAATTCCTTTTCATTTGTAACCTAAATTAAGATTTGAACCCAGGTCTCCACCTTGCAGAGACCCATGGAAAGCACATACATCTTAACTTTCTTTCCTGGCGAACAGACATATCAGATGCGTCTGAGAAACGTGCTCAGCTCACAGAGCAGAAAATAACAAAAACCTACAGGCTTCATTTAAACCCCAACTAAAGTCAATGGCCAGATTCCCAATAGGATTTGGTTCAGGTCTTAGGTCAGTATCTACAAGCCACTCAAAAGTTTTGAAAGTGACAGAAGCTATCTATCCAGTGACTATCACTGTGTGCCTCAGTTTTCTAACAGATGAAGGCAACTGAGGCACAACTGATTTAATTTATTTTTTTAATATGGAGATAAACCTATCTGATAGAACTGGAAGGGACCTTGAAAGGTCATTGAGTCCAATCCCCTGCCTTCACAGCAGGACCAAGGATTGTCCTGGCAGATTTTTGCCCCCGATCCCTAAATGGCCCCCTCAAGGATTGAACTCACAACGGAGGGTTCAGCAGGCCAATGCTCAAACCACTGAGCTATCCCTCCCCCCCGACATGTTACTTGACCAGTCCAAAGTCACACAGCAAGTTATTGGAAGAATCTAAGCACAGAGCCCAGATTCTCCTAACTAAAAGTCCCCTTTTCTAATCAGAAAAAACACTCTCTCTCTCTCATTATCACTTACTTGTATTTCTTCAGGACAGGGAGATAGACAAGAGTCTTTACATCAAATCATATTATCGCTTTTTGTATGACATGAAAAACCCATGTCTTACCACCTTCAGAAACCTTATTTTATTTCTCTCTCATTATAAGTGCTTAGTTTGAACATACAACAAATTTGCATGGAAGTAAACATCTGTATTGCTATGTAAATATATATTCATATACACATGCACAGATTTAAAGGCCTTTACTCAACTAAAAATCTCAGTGAGACACTAAAAATTAATTCAATACAACCTAGGCCATTATTGTCTTAAGAGTAACTGCTACATTTTTTCAACAAAAAGGTGAGGTTAATCATTAGTTTCATTTTTAGCATACAGTACAGTATGGATAGTAAACGTACCATTTCTTAAACCATTAGTTGATTACATAAACTGTGACATCACATCCATGTAGAAAATCAGTCAAAACTCTTATTATACAAGGATCTGATACAAGCACCTTGTGTAACAAGGTTTCTGGCTGACCGCTTCCTCACACTGAATGAAAAGACTTTTTATAACTAAAGCAAGAGACTAAACAAAGGAGTGGTGAAGACTGTGCAGCAAGAAAAGGTTAGTAGAAAAAAATCTTGTATTTTGAAATAAAATATAGGGATATAACAATAAATGTAAGAAATATAAGCAAGAAAGCAGAGCACCTCAAGACTCTCTTATTTAACTTGGGGTTTTCCTGGCATCACAAGCCAGTCAAGCCATCATCAGATGCCCTTGATGGAAAAACAGTCTTGTTCTACATGGTTGAATATCTGGTTATTGTATTTAGCATATTTACTATAATACTTAGCACATATAGCACATTACATGTTCAAAGTGCTGCACTGCCACCCAAATTAAAAAAAGGTTGCGAAATCAAGCACTCAGTCAAGAAATGCACAGTTAAGGCTATACCAAACCAATAACCATCCTCTTTTCCTCATGACTTAACAAAAGGCCTTTTATACCTATATAAATGTCAGCTAACACAATACAAAATGGAATTTCCGTATAGAGACTTAACTACAGTAAGTTACATCTCAGCAAGGTGTACAACGCAAACCAAGTTTTAAGAAAGTTTGTTCATTTTGTAGATTTCACTGAATCTTAACAGTAATGCCAGGTCTTAAAGCTGCATATGCATGACTGCATATACTATACAAGATAAGGTTACATAAGAAATTCCAGTATTTTATCATGATAGAATGAATGACCTTATTTTAAGGCATAAGCATAAAGGGGGAAAGTTAAGAGAAATCAGTTAATGTCTGTAAAGCACTTTGAACACGGGAAAGCACTGAATACATATTGTTTTTTTTTTAATTAAAGATTGAGCTTTCAACGTTAACTCTGGATGTCCTGATTTGAGTACATGATTTTTCAACTTCAACACTGCATTAATGTTACTTTTTGCATGGAGTAGATATAGATTTCAGTTAATTTACTTGCCCTGGCCTTTGCCCCATACCAATGAACCAAACAAAACAAATTGTGAACTGTCAATGAACAAATTGTACTTTAAAAAGTAAGGAAAATATCAAGTGCCCCACTTACACATTATTCAATTAAATAAACCACTTATGCTCACTTTATTTAAATACTTTATTTAAAACTGCCCTTCTCAAATCTTTTCACTATATTAAGACCCATAAGGGAATTTAATACTTTTGCAAAATTAAACTAACTTTACTTGACATTAATTTCTCAGTATAACTGTTGTCCCTGGAGAGCAAGCATTTTCAGCATGATGAACTGCTGCTAATAAAACACACACCTCTGAAGGATAATATTATTGTAATGTATTTGTTAACCTACTATGGAGCCAGCAGTCTGAGGCTTGGTCTACACTAACCCCCCAAATCGAACTAAGGTACGCAACTTCAGCTACGTGAATAACGTAGCTGAAGTTCAAAGTACCTTAGTTCGATCTTACCTCGGTCCACATGCGGCAGGCAGGCTCCCCCGTCGACTCCGCGGTACTCCTCTCGTCTAGCTGGAGTACCGCAGTCGACGGCGAGCACTTCCGGGTTCGACTTATCGCGTCCAGACAAGACGCGATAAGTCGAACCCAGAAGTTCGATTGCCAGCCGCCAAACTAGCAGCTGGGTATAGACGTACCCTGAGAGATTTGTTTTTAAAGCAAACTATGATGAGAGCGTATCTGAATGCTGCAAATCTACTTTATTCTCTAATAATACTGTAGATTTTAAACAATGGTGCAGCCATGATGAGGCTCAAGTTACGCTAAAAATTCATATACTCCTCTTCATTAGGAAATACATTCCCTAATTCCTTGTACCCAGATTTTTACTACTCCTGTGGTAGAATAGAAGTCTACAAGCAAAAATATTATCCTCTTGCCAACATAGAAGCCTATAGTCCTATGAAGATCCCACCTCCTAGAACTAGATATTAGTGCAGCATTGAACATTGTAAAAAAGCCTATTATGTTGTTATATTTCCCTTATGTAGAATAAGTTTGGAAGAAATATGCTAAGGAAAGTCTTGCTGCCTTGAAAGTCAAGATTTTAGCTGATATTTTTGGAGCAGATTCTGATCTCAGATGCATGCTATATGCACTAGCATGAATTACTAAATACCTGGGCAGAAGCCAAAGCGGTGTATTTAGTTTTTTTTTTAATTTATTTTAGGGCTGTCGATTAATCGCCGGTAACTCATGCGATTAACTAAAAAAAATTAATTGCAATTAAAAAAATTAATCACGATTAATCAGTTTTAATCACACTGTTAAACAGCAGAATACCAATTGAAATTAAACAATATTTTTTGATGTTTTTCTACATTTTCAAATATATTGATTTGAATTACAACACAGAATACAAAGTGTACAGTATCAGAGGGGTAGCCGTGTTAGTCTGGATCTGTAAAAAGCAACAAAGAGTCCTGTGGCACCTTATAGACTAACAGACGTACTGCAGCATAAGGTTTCGTGAGTGAATACCCACTTCGTCGGACACATGTCAGTGTACAGTGCTCACTTTATATTACTTTCGATTACAAATATTTGCACTGTAAAAATGACAAACAAAAGAAATAATATTTTTCAATTCACCTCATACAAGTACTGTAGTGCAATCTCTTTATCGTGAAAGTGCAACTTACAAATGTAGATTTTTTTTTATGTAACTTCACTCCATAACAAAACAATGTCAAACTTTAGAGCCTGCAAGTCCACTCAGTCCTACTTCTTGTTCAGCCAATCGCTAAGAGAAACAAGTTTGTTTACATTTACGGGAGATACTGCTGTCTGCTTCTCATTTACAATGTCACCTGAAAGTGAGAACAGGCGTTTGCATGGCACTTTTGTAGCCAGCATTGCAAGGTATTTACGTGCCAGATATGCTAAACATTCATATGCCTCTTCCTGCTCCAACCACCATTCCAGAGGACATGCTTCCATGCTGATGATGCTCATTTAAAAAAAAAAAAAAAAAAAAAAGAACGTGTCAATTAAATTTGTGACTGAACTCCTTGGAGGAGAATTGTATGTCTCCTGCTCCATGGCTTTACCCACATTCTGCCATATATTTTGTGTTACGGTAGTCTCAGATGATGACCCAGCATTTGTTGTTTGATTTAAGAACACTTTCACTGCAGATTTGACAAACACAAAGAAGGTTCCAATATCAGATTTCTAAAGATAGCTACAGCACTCAACCCAAGGTTTAAGAATCTGGAGTGCCTACCAAAATCTGAGAGGTACGAGGTGTGGAGCATACTTACAGAAGTCTTAAAAGAGCAACACTCTGATGCAGAAACTACAGAACCTGAACCACCAAACAAGAAAAATCAACCTTCTGCAGGTGGCATCTGACTCAGATGATGAAAATGAACATGTGTAGGTCCACGCTGCTTTGGATCGTTATTGAGCAGAACCCGTCATCAGCATGGACGCATGTCCTCTGGAATGGTGGTTGAAGCATGAAGGAACGTATGAATCTTTAGAGCATCTGGCACGTAAATATCTTGCGATGCTGGCAACAACAGTGCCATGCGAATGCCTGTTCTCACTTTCAGGTGACCCTGTAAACAAGAAGCGGGCAGCATTCTCTCCTGCAAATGTAAAAAAAACGTGTTTGTCTTAGCAATTGGCTGAACAAGAAGTAGAACTGAGTGGACTTGAAGGCTCCAAAGTTTTACATTGTTTTATTTTTGAATGCAGGATTGTTGGGGTTTTTTTTGTACTTTCATGATAAAGAGACTGCACTACAGTATTTGTATTAGGTGAATTGAAAAATAATATTTCTTTAATTTTTTTTTTACAGTGCAAATATTTGTGATCAAAATAAATATAAAGTGAGCACTGTACACTTTGTATTGTGTTGTAATTGAGATTAATATATTTGAAAATGTAGAAAACATCCAAAAATATTTAAATAAATGGTATTCTATTATTGTTTAATTGCGATTAATATTTTTAATCGCTTGACAGCCCTAATTTACTTAGATATGAGTCAATTTTCAATAATACAACAATAGAGTCAGACCCTTAAAATGGATTCTCCTTTTGAAGTTTTGGTTCTTTGTAACTTTGTAACCTATGGAGGTGCAATCAGATGCTTTTTTTCTGTGTAAGGGAAAACCTTTGAAACATTCAGAGATACAGATGGCAAGACAGAGAGGGACAGCAGAGGCAATAGTACTGTTACAATTTACAACAGTTTCAAGATGAATTCCAAGCCTCCCAGTCTGAGAGGAAAAAAAGAGAGGTCAGTATACAAGCTTTTAGTCCTACCAGAAAAGCAAAGCAGCATTTTAAAATCAAGCTGCTTGTTAGGAAAGGATTACCTGAACTTCTTCAAATTCAATCCAGTAAACAGCACAGGCACTCTTGGAGACTGTATCTGAGAAGATAAGAAGCTACTTTCCTGTGTATTCCTCACATTTTCATTTAAAAGCACACAAGAGACTAAAGATGATAAAGCTTTCCTGACTCTTTGATGATTACTATATAGAAGTGTCAACATAAAGTGGCAAGTTTGTGTAATTTGTTCAGAGATTAGATTCATCCATAAGACTTTCCAGTAGTTCTTTCTCATCCTCTCCCCAGTATTCTATGGAATGGAAAGCTTAATTCTATGTTAATTGTCCAAGTCATGAGCCACATTCATAGCTATGTTTTCACTGAACATATTTAAATTTGATTCTGCTCTCAGTTACACCCACATAAATCAAAAGTAATTCCATGGAAAGCAATGGAATCACACAAATATAACAGTAGTGTAAATGAAAGAAAAATCAGGCCTAGTCATAATTTCATACTGGAGTAGGACATTTATTCCATTCTCCACCGAATTAATAAATCATGAGTGAATAAAATAAAATTCTTCAAGCCAAATTAGTCTAAAGAATACTTTGTCTCAGCTATGCCTAACTGGCTTCCAAAAAGCAACTCAGACTGAGTTACAACCTAAAACTTGTTATGTCACAATGACCAGCCAAACCCAGCAGCAGTGTTCAATATTCTTTTGAGAGCAACTGGTTTGCCTTCTAACAGAGAGAGAGATTCAGCAACAGTCAAAAATGAGGGAGAGAAAAAGGGGTAAAACAGAGAAAGAATATTTTCCCTGCATCAATCCCAGGTTAGAACAGCAACAGACAGTTCTTAATTACTATGATTTATTTAGAAAAAGAAAAAGGAAATGCCTTCTCTGGGAGTCTCCTACCTCATTATTTGGGTCCTGAATAACCTTATAAAGAGCTGGCACCAGTGATTTTTTCCGGTGCAACGTTGATGCATAACCGGAGATTTGATTTTCAGGTAATGCCTAAAGTAAGAGATATAGACAGCAGTTACTATAATGAGTAGTTCGTGTGTACGCTTTCATGTATTGATAGATATCTATGAACACGATAAATCCAATTTTGATAACATTAAACACAACAACAACAATCCCTGAGCTTCAGTCAAGACAAATTCACAACTTACTACACTAGTAAAGGTGGAATTCTGTCCTTTCAGTACTGATTCAAGCAAGCAAGCTATCCATAAACCTTACAGTGCTGGGACCCAATCCTGCCTGGTGCTGAATGCTATGAATATTCATCAACTTGTGTGGTAGTTGAGGACATTCAGCAACTTCCAGGACTAGGTCACTATACAGCTCTTGGCCGCTCCATATTAAAATTATCTGCCACAAACCCAGTCTAGTCTCTAGATCCTCTCCTCTTCTCTTTTTCCCTGTTCAACCAGGAACTTTTCGAAACCCTATATAAATTTAAACTTTTTTTAAACCTATGATAAAGCCTCAGATGATTAAAAGTGAAAGTTTTTTAAAAATCCAATTTACTTGTCTCTATGTGCTGTTTAATTTTATATTTCTCTCAGCTCAATAAAGGAAGTTTAGATTTGGTTTACAGTCAAGACACTTTCACGTCCTTAGTCATCTGAAGCATGGAATTCATCCATTCTACAAAGGAGTGTATATTTTTTTAAAAACTATTTTCACTGGAGTTTTTTAAATTGTGGAAACACTTCTGTTAATCTTAAATTTAATAAAAAGTTGGTTACGTTTTTAAATTTTGTGAACAAGTTGACAGTCTCCCTTTAAATTCTATCAGCTTGATTTACAGAGTGTTATGTGCTTTGAAGTGAGATCTGCATAGTATGCTATACGCTCTGTACTATTATAATACATATTTGTATTCCAAATTGTGCTTTTTATATTAATACCTTTTTATAGACATCTACACGTTGTGCAGTAGAACAGATACAAAAGATTAAAAATCAAAAGAAGCTTTTACACTTTAAATGTTTAATCATTAGCATTCTTAACATTATATGCCATTAAACAACATTATAATTGTCATACACCTACTCAGCTGACCTTGAATTCTGATAGCCATTCTTCCACCACACCACGTTCGGATCCCAGCATTTTCTTACAGCTTATTCTCCTTTCTTACCTTTAGGAACAAGAAAGAGAAGCTCAAAAGGTAGAATTCAATTCAGTTCTGTATAACCCTGTTCTAAAGGGGAAGATAGTTCCAAATCTGATGGTTTTATTTTACATCAAACATTACCAGATGTTGTAGTTCTGAAAATTAGTCCTGTTTTCTAATGATTTTTTTTAAACTGTTCTCTTGATCCTCCTAGACATAAAGCTATAGTACTTCAGTGGGTCAGAGAGGACTCAGGGCTCCAGGACAAATTGCACATTATCTAAGACAAACACACCATCCATCCCTGTGCTCTTACCAAATATAGTACAAAGAAAAGACAACTGGAACAACTGAAGAGCATCATGGAACAAAGCCATGTGACAGGTTATAATGACAACTCTGGATATGGCACAAAGCAAATACAATTTTATAAAAAAAATAATATCTTGGAAGTCATGGTGGCAGTATATTTTATTTCTTAAAGCTGTTCTGGAGGAACTGTGAAGTTTCTCTTCCAAGCTGCAACACTATTTTAGCAGTAAGCTGTATTTTTCAGAAAGCTAAACATACAAAGCACTATTAGTTTTTTTTAAACCACACAATTACTATTATTACTTTCCTACCATATAGCAGTTTTATTCTAGAATCTTGAGCTCAGACAAAAACAGGTCTCAGGCCAAAACCACGGAGTTTTATGGTGTTCGCTATTTGCATACTATTTTGAAATAAATACCCTAATCTTATTAGCTATCTCTATTTAAGTACAATATTTAAGTTGCAGCTATTTTCTTAAATTAATGTAGGGTTTTGTTATGTAATGTGGATTTCTGAGGTATTTAAGTATCTAAATATTCACATTAAATAGATTCCTTTTTCTTTTTTTAAAAGGGCCCAGAACTGAGTCGGTACATTACATGAACTTTAAACTACCCAAATACAATGTTTAACACAAGAGAGGGTGCATTAAATAAAGACATCATTTCATAAGCACCAAGATCAATCCTTCACTGGCAGAGGGCTGGACACGATGACCTAGTACATTCTTTCCCTCTCCAATTTCTATCATTACTTTCTTTTTATTATAGTCTCAGCACACAGACATTTAATCAGAGCTATGCTAAGCATATTCACTAAGCTACTGTTACATTTAGAAATTATTGTGATGTGTCAGCTGCAATACTCTGACCCACAGTCCTGCATTCGGGTCCAAAACCACCATTACTAATTTGCCTTTTCACAGGAAGACAAGTGTTGTTGCTAAACAGAAATAAAAGACAATAGGAAAATGTTTATATAGTAGATACTAATAGATATGAAAATAGAACGTCACAGAACAAAATATTGTGAAACTATCCATTACTTTAATACCTTCACCACAAGAAGAGATGTCTCGCACAAGAAGAAATACAGGAAAATAGCCATATGCAAATCTGGCCAGCATAAAGCCCAGTGCACACCTATATTTCTGTAAGGCTATATAGCAATAGCTTGCAGTCTTCGTAAGAGAATCTGTATAGTAAAAATATACAGTAATAATATATTCAAGTTCAGATGAACTGACATCGTTTAGGAGTGCTTTTTTAATGTATTATGGAAGTTCTTGCTGGAAAAATCCCAAAGATCTCTGATGAATAGATTTCTGAATAAATCATAATCTATCGGAAACATATTGCTCATGCTATCATAGCTTCAAAGAGAAATCATCATTAAAGCAAGGATGAACAACAAAAATTCATGGCTAACAAAACTTTTGCAAATCTCACTCGCTTAACTTTTTTTTTTTTACTTTGCAAAGGTATAAAGGCACAGTTAGATACAGGAAGTCAAACAAAAGGTAGAGACAGTCATAACATTTTCCAAAACAGCTAGTATATATAAACTCCTGAGAGTTCTTCGTAATCCAGTTTAGACTTGCACAGAACAGGAGGTTAAAGGAAAAATGTTTGACTTGAGTATATTAATAAATGGGAGTAAACAACTAAAATTAATCTAATTAAATTAGATTTAAAATATACTTCGCCGTGTCATTTGGAAAAGGCCCTAATAAACAATAAGCTATTCTTCCAAATATTAGTGTTGAGACTTGACCTTTTTTTCCCCTTCCCTTTTTATTTAAAATTTTAAATACCCTATTTACATATTTATTTACAGGTATTTCAAAATATGTTTTCACCAGGGATATCTGGCACAGGCTTAGACAATTAATGTTTCTATTATTACTTAAAAATGTAAATCAACACCAGTACAATTATGTAATCCAACCTCTCTTCCCCTATTCCACTGTTTTGCCCTTCTCCATTTAGTAAGTTGACGTTTCTATTTCTTACAAAATACAAGTCAAAATGGCTATGCCATTAGCAACAAATATCATGGGTAACATATTCACACAGTTCCGAGAGTAGGATCTGCTAGCTGATTTGAACTCCCTCTGCCACTTGGCTACCTTTAAAGAACCAAAATACTACATGACTCTCCAATATTTAACAACAGTTAACATTGTTTTTAAATTTGTAAGTGAAGGAGTCAAGGATTTAATATTAACCCTTTTCTTCCTGCCTCCTCTTTCCCCACAAGCCCCAACCACCAAATGAGTTTGCCTCAAAACATATCATGGGATTTAACAATACAATAATACATTTGGGGTTCTGTTTATTTGCCTTCTGATTTTTCAGCATTTAGAATTCAGGTTTTCAAGCTTTGCTCTGCAACCATAAGATTGCAAACTGAGATTCTCCTGTAATGAAATGACTCCAGGAACTGGACTTTTAGGAAAAACACCAAATATTGATAGAAATTGGCCCTTTAAGGAATAATTCATTAAATCTAGTGAATATGGAAAATTGAAGTATAGGATTTTGGTGTTTATTTTACTTTTAGAAAGAACCAATTACAGTACATTGTGTCAGGATCAGGGCAGCAGGAATCTCAAAATCTCCAGTTTGAATTCAATATAGGTTGGTAGCAATCCAAAGTAATTACTGTCTCAAAATAGTTTAGTAGTATAAGTGAAATGAATGGGTGTTTTGAAATCAGCCGCTAGGAAATGTCTATATCACAGAAACCACCACCATAAGTTGGACCCTTGTTGACAGTCTCAATAGATAGGTCAAGGATTGCATTGACATGGAGACCCAACTACCCTTATGTTTAGAACAGTCAATCCATACAAACGTTGAGTTACATTGACTGAAAGACTGAACTCACTCCTGGCTAAGCTGTACTAGATGTATGAAAATAAATAAATAAAACAAAACAAAATTCCATCAGTTTCCAGTGCTGTCAACAGACACTTTTTAGAAGCTTTTTTAAAAAATGATATTGATATTTTAATGGAGCACAATGGGATGATGTAGGGACTTTGGATCAATTTTGTTAGTAAAATACTCACAAAACATGCACAAGATGCTAGCAGGGATTTTTACAAATTGGAACCGTCCCTAAACAGAGCTTCCAACAGATGCATTAAACCAAATTAACATGCTACCATAGAAATTTCAATCTGAAAACCAACCTGATGAGCAATTCAATTATTTTTTATTATACAGCTCTCTGATAAAAAATACTCTAAGGCATCAGGGCTGTTCAATACAGCTACTACAAATATTATTATTGATATTTAGCATGGCTACCGTGTCTTATCTGACAATCTCAGCGTATTTTACTATTAACTAATTCAGACTCAACATCCCTGCAAGGCAGCCAAGATTTATATAGGAAGGCAGGGAAATGCTCTGATAATCTGGGCAGATAAATTACTACACCTACACAGAAAACCAGCTACGTGGGAGATAAAAAGAGATGGTTGTTTATCAGTTCATAGCAACACAATGAAAGAGTTTAGGGCAGGAAATTATGAAGAATCTCTTTTCTAACTATAATTATTGAGAAAATGTAGACAGGGAGAATGCTGAATTTATTCAGGTCACCCTGTTTAAAATACTGACACTCTTATAAAAAAAAAAAAAAGCCAAGGGGGCTTTGAAGTGTGGCTTGCTCCCTACTGATGCGTTTATAAATTCAAGAGGCTCATGAGCAATAACTTTTTTTTTTTAAGCTTTTATTAGATTTCACTTTTTCCCCTCGGCGGCCCAACTTCCTGGCTGCACCTCCACCGTGTAGTGGCTAGAACGTGCTCGCCAGGCAGAGTATGAGACTGAAAGTGCTGAAAAAGAGCAGCAACAGCTGGAGCAAATTTGCCACTTGCTGTCCAAGAGAAGAATCCAGACCCTGGCACAGCCAGTGAGCCACCCGTGGTAGGAGAGGTGCAGGGAACCTTTGTGGAAAAGGAAAAGTGCTGGGGGCTGCTGCAGGAGCGAATGGTCACCCTATTTGTATTTGGGAAAGGAAGGAAGAGAGAGGCGATGCATGAATAAAGCACGGAGATCAGAAGGGGAAGACACTGATCAAAAGAATGGAATTCAAAGGGAGAGATCTGCTATTGCTTTCTTCCTTTTCCATCTCCTTTCAGCTCGCCCTCTATATTCACCTGCTCAGTCAGTCACTCCTTTACATGCTGCCGGCTAAACAGTTTTCCTTTCCTGGTCTTATTGAGCTCCTGCTCAGTGGCTTCCCCCATTGGCCCTAATGCTTTTTAGAAGCTGTAGAATCACATGCTTTTAGAGCAGGGATCAGCAACCTTTGGCACACACTCCGCCCGGGTAAGCACCCTGGCGGGCCCGGCTGGTTTGTTTACCTGCCGCGTCAGCAGGTTTGGCCGATCGCAGCTCCCACTGGCCGTGGTTCGCCGCTCAAGGCCAATGGGGGGGACGGGAAGCAGCGGCCAGTACATCCCTCGGCCCATGCCGCTTCCCACAGCCCCCGTTGGCCTGGGACGGCGAACCGCGGCCAGTGGGAGCCGCAATCGGCCGAACCTGTGGACGCGGCAGGTAAACAAACCGGCCCGGCCCGCCAGGGGGCTTACCCTGGCAGTCCCATGCCAAAGGTTGCTGATCGCTGTTTTAGAGCCAGCTGTCCTAGGTTCAATTGCTACAAGTGACCCAGACAAGATTGTTATTATATTAGTCACCCCTGTCAGATGATTTCTGTTATCAGTAGCAAAGCACAGAAAACAAAGTGCAAATCTGTTTGAAGACAGCAGGACAAAGGCCTCAAAATAAATGTTACTACATGTGATAAAACTCCTTCCGCTCCAACCTCCCCCACAAAGACTCTTCACACATCTTTGAGAACCCAGGAGAAAATATAAAAAATACAGTATAGCCTTTAGGAATACTAAGTGAGAAAATCATCTATATAGGCGAGACAGCTTTTAGATTTAACAAAAGAGCAAGTAGAAGAAATTAATCATTGCAAAGGAAGAATTCTTCCCTCAGAGTACACAGTTCCCCTCCAAAAAACCACAATTGATAAATTATCCTTTTAACCATTCCTCTCTGCTAAATGAAGGATTTCCTCAATCTCTTTATCACAAAAAGCATAGCTGATCTACAGTGTAGGAAGACAAACTTTTTAATACTCATGGCTTGTAATAGTGGGCTAGACAAGAAAAGGGGAGGAAGTTTTAGATCATTGTTAGGAGAATAAGGGAAGGGACAAGCCTTGCATTAATATTAACACAAACTGGAAAAAAGCTTTGTAAAATGTACATTAGGTCAAGTATAATCTAGTGTTGTAATAATGGAGGAAGGGAACTTCTTTCTGTGTACAAAGAATATAGAACAAATTGATTATGGTTACATTCATTTATTAATACGATTGTCTGAAATTGCATTTATGCTGAAAATTACTCCTGGTTGGAGCTAGTGAGATTATATTTTAAAATGTGAATACTGTTCCTCAACACATAGGTTAATTGTTATAGAGCTGAGTACAGACTGTTTTAATGTGATTACTTCTGGCCAGAGGCATTACTAACACACACGAAGACTTCAATAAGGTTTGTGCCTTGTCACATGTATTAAATAGCCTCCTTTTCTTTTTCAACTCTTTTGTTTATAGTTCACAGTAAAGAGATTGTGTTAAATCTCTTTTCCCGAAGTTTAAGAAGGCTTAAAAATAAGTGTAAGGAGATTGGAGCCATTAGGTATTTGGAGAGATTTAACACAGACCTCTCATATCCACAGGAAACTCACTTCTCTCTTAACAAACAGTGAAAGGAACTTGGTATCATTCAAATAGTTTCCCTATTACAATACTTTTTCTTTCCCAAATCAGGATATTCCTGCCCTGGCCAGGGAGTAAAGGAACATGTTGTACAGTTCTGTAGCCAGCCTGCCAGACAACGTAGCAGTGACACTTGTGAGCAGTGGCGCTGGAAAGAGTGCAGAAGTGTGGGGTGAGGGCCAAATTTGAGGCAGTGGCATTGTGACCTAGCACATGGGTTTGCCTTTGGCTTCCATTTCTATAGAAAAACCAGAGGGGTGGCCTTCCCCTCCAAATAGGGACACTTACAAGTCAGCCCTACGTATTCTATTCAGTAACATCCCAGACAGTGTTCAGAATTACATGCATTTGTCCAGAGCTCAAACTTCAGACCCTATGTGAAGCTGCAGAGCCACTATACTGACTCACAACAGAAGCCAGATCAGATGGAGTTTTAACTCCATTTCAGGGATATAAATGTCTGAGGGTCACAGAGAAAGGAATAGAAAGAAAGACAGGAAGACACTCTGGCTATGGTTTGAAGGTTGTTCTAGGATAGGGGTCAGCAACCTTCAACACGCAGCCCATCAGGGTAATCCGCTGGCAAGCCGCGAGACATTTTGTTTCTGTGGACCAGCCGCAGGCACGGTCCCCCGCAGCTCCCAGTGGCCACGATTAGCTGTTCCCGCCCAACGGGAGCTGCGGTAAGTAGTGCGGGAGAGCTGCGGGGGTCCATGCCTGCGGATGGTCAACATAAACAAAATGTCTCACAGCCTGCCAGTGGATTACCCTGATTGGCTGCATGCCGAAGGTTGCCGACCCCAGCTCTATGATATAAAACAAAATCTCATTCTTCTCCTCCTCCTGTTTTGCTATTAGGTGGGTGGATAGAGGGAAAGGCACAGAAATGGCCTGGCAACTACATCCATTAACACTACCATCCAGAGTTAAAAAGTAAGTTCCTGGTCCCCTGGGAATGGTGAAGAATAACGTCCCAGATCCTGAGCTGCCATGTGAAAGAAACCCTTGCTGATACTGTTTCCATAGGAAAACTGAGTCAATAATACCATAAGACAAACAGCTGACCCTCCTCTTCCCCTCTCAAGCATTCCCCATCCGCACCAGACCAACCCTTCCCAGAACCCTTGAGGGAGCTCTTCTAAATTCCCTCCCTCTCACCCCCCACCACTACTACCGCCAGCCTGACCCTCTCAGAGCCCTCGAGGGAGCCCCCTGCCTTCTCCAGCCCAGCCCTCCCGGAGTCCTTGCCTCCCCCATCCCACCAGCCTGACCCTTCCAGAGCACCTTCCTCCCCCACTCTTTACCTTACCCTCCCTGCTAGTGAGCCTCTCACCCTCGCATGCTGGGTTTGTCCCACTTCCTGGATCTGGCTGCTCCCCCGGCACCAAGAGGAGCCACTGCTGTGGTTTTGGCAGGGGGGCCGGCACACAGCACAATGCAGAGTGGGGCCTGGTTGTCACATTGCATGTGGCGTGACAAAGGACAGGACCTGGGTGCTGGCCAGGTCACAGCACACCTCCTCCCAGACAGGAACATGTTCAATTAAAAAAAAAAAAAGACAGGGGAGGAGAGGATGACACACTGTTTCTGACACCTATACTTGTGTGCTCTGAACACTGTCCCATCCCAGTCTCTGCAGCCAGAAGGAAGGCAATTAAGAGTGTGCAGGAATGGGATCAGAACAATGAGGCAGAGTAGTATGGAAGATTTTGGGGGCTACATGAGGCATCTGGAGGGAAAAAGTGTATTCTAAGACGGTGAAAATGGTGAAGGGAAGCAAGCAAAACAGATGAAAACAAAGTCTGTGTTACATTAAGTGCCTTTCCTTGTGGAAATTGTATATAGCCTAGATAAAGATGAGTCAATATTCCACCAGGGCTCCTTGAAGTTGTGTCATTTCCCCCAACCTCTATATTGCTGCAGGAGACTTTACTTGTGCGACAGAGTAGGCTTATTTCTTAAATCTTGCTGTGGAAAAAGGGGTAAACATTTGTTCATGGAACAATGGATGCTTCAGAAGTGCAGACAGATAAGATGTCCAAATAAAACTACAGGCACAGAGAGTGGCTGCATCAGTATTATGCCTTTGACAGGACCTTAAAACCTGGAGCTGAAAAAAAGTCTTGCCTTAAGGAAATGAGAAACAGAAAGTACTTTATGAGGGATCTGTACTTTAAAGGGTATTTTGGTCACTGGCAAGTGTTCCTAAAGAGAGAAAAGATGAAACAACACAAAATATCTAGAAGTTGTGGGGGGCAGGGATTTAACCTGACTTTTGCCAAAACCTATAGCATTCACCAATTTTGAAATTCTCACAGATGTCATCTACCTCCTTTGAACTACAAGCTCTTTGTTCTGAAACATTTAGCCCTTCTGCAAGGAACAAAACCATAAATAGAAAATTTCAGGAAAAGGAAAATTTAAAAAAAGAGAGAAAAGGAATAGAATATTCATGTTTGGTTTTAACCCTGCAAACCCTTATGCACATGCTTAACTTTACACATAAGTAGTCTCACTGATGTCAGTGAGACTACTCACACGCATAATGTTAATCACACGCACAAGTATTTGCAAGATCCAGGTCTCACACAGTAATAGGAGAGTATTATAAATCAAAAAAATTGAGAAATTGGAAAGAAAAAACTGAAAGTAGATGCAGGGTTCAAAATATTAAATTAAATTTTTCTGTTTGTTTTTAACAAATATTTAAATATTTTCTAAAAAATGTGCTCTAGTTCAATAGGCTTGATATAATAATTACTGTATAATTCTATGGCCAAAATTATACAGGAGGGCAGACTAGATAATTACAATGGTCTCCTCTGGTCACACACTCTATGAATCTATAACCTCCCTTCTATTTTGATTTTTGTTGGAAATTTTTTTATTTTTATTGGAAAATTTTTGATTTAACAGAAGAACTGAGAGTTTGATAAATGGAAGATATTAAAGTAGAAATAAATATCCCAACATTGATTTTTTTTTTAGAACATCAAGGCATATTTCTTTGGCACTTTGCTTGTTTGAATTGGACTACTCATGACAGTAAGCACTGCAACTGGCCACTAAGTAGTTATATGATCACGCTCTGTGAATATTCGCTCTTCATGGCAAGGATCTGTCTTAAGTGTTTAAGCATGCAGTATTTGTTGGGTACTTAAACAGTGGTAGTAATAGTAACAACAGGAGATTTACTTGAATTTAAGAAGTACCTGTTCTAGTAGCGCGTTTCAGTAGCACTGCTTTTTGCATTAAATACTATCAATAATAGAAGATAACTAAATAAAGCAAGCTCTGGAAACAAAAATATCAAACAATGTCGTTCGCAAGTAGATTTCGGAAGCCAGTGATTAGCAGTCATAATTTGCATGACACCTGAATACGGTTATTTAAAGACACCACAGGAAACACCAGAGGAGAAGTTACTAAAAAGTCATGATTCTGTTTGTCATGATTGGTATAAAAATTTGCTATAGCATGTGCCATGTGCCATGCTATAGCATGTGCTCTTTACCTCTGTTTTAAGAAGTCAGTTCTCTAAAGAAGGAGGAGGAGGAGGAGGAGGAGGAATAATGCAGCAGTTTTCCAGTCTGGAATGCATCTGTCAAGCTTTAAAATATTCCTCAGTTCTGTGAAAGATGAAAATAGAAAATCTGAGATAATCAAAACAAAGACACAAGATGGGCTTTGGAAAACTAGACACTATACTTATTTTACTTAATACATTTTTCTGCATCATAGACAAACTGCAGAAATTACCAGCTAAAAAGCATTACCCGATCTACTAAAACTCCATTCCACCCCAAAAAAAAAAAATCTGTAACAAACACAACACGCCAAACAGTGTTTTACCCTAAAAAGGAAGAGAAAGAGAGATTATGTGAAATTTACTAGGGACTTTGTAACAGAATTTACACGGAAGGTGTTCAGATGCTGTAGTGACTGGCAGCAGTATAAAACACAAAGATAGAAAGAACACTAAAAATGAAATTTGATAACCAACAGTACATATAAAAGATACCCATAAGACACACTTATTAAAAGGAAATTAGTATTTTTGCAAGATTAAGCACAATCAATACCCTGAATCTTCAGAACATAAAAATCAGAAGATCCAAACCATAAGGGCAGCATGTCTTAAAAAGTGTTCCTTCTTCCCATCACAAGCATTTTGTTCTGATATCTATTTACTACAAGGTTAAAAGTTTCAAAATCACTTCAGGGAAATTGCCACCACCGAGAAAAGTCAGTATACTTGCCAACATAATGTAGGAGCCATTAGCTAGGGACTTATGTTGCTAATAAAGATTTTGTACACCTCAGATCACTTCAGGATCGCTGAACTCCGAAGACTGCACCTTCTTATTGTCAGTATATTTTAATGACTTCAGTATAGTTTAAGAGTACCTTGGATTATCTTACTGTATTACTGAGCACTTTCAGTTGTACATTCAACACTACAGGGCTCTTTCACTCACGCTAAAGTGTGCACACACATGAGCCAAGCCTAGGTGGATTAGTGAGAATAAGATGCTGAAATCCTATGATGTGTTTCCAAAGTGTATGGAACTGTTCCATTCTATACTGTTTAAGTTACTATTGTACCTTCTCCAATACAAACAGTTAGTAAAAAGTCCCTTTCTCTCAATATTAGTAAAACATATATTAAGCGGAACAGCAGATCACATTAGGTTAAATTTCAACTGTTAGCCTTTACAACAAATAAAAATAGGGTGAACTTAAAGGGACAGTATGAATTTTCTGTAATCAGACATTTTCATGCAATTTCTTACAGGAATCTCTACGTGATATCTGATTATTTTTATAGTATTATAGTATCGATACTATAGTGTTAAGATAGTAAATAGCTAATGAATAACAACTTTACATGTACTTGTGCTTGTCTTCAGTATAACTTGCCATTTATATTAATCCTTATTCAGTGCTGGTCTTTAATCTAGCTTTTCTTATTTTGTCTGTGATGCCTTTATAGTTGAAAGTCATTAAAAACCTTCTTTGAGGAATAATCAGTAGTTTTAATTTTTCTTATACGGGCACTACTCAACCTCATTACATCTGTGTTGGGTGGTGGGAAGTAGTGATCACCCAGGGAACAATTAGGGTCCTGATGCGTGCCTCCCTCTTCTCTTATCTCCGCAGTAGTCAATAGGCGGACCGCAGGCCAAATACAGACCACCAGACGCTTTTGAACGGACCCAAACAATCTTTTTTATTTAATTATTTAAATAATTATTTTCTCTGGAGTCTGCTCCTTGACTATACCTTAACCACAAAATTTGGACACTAACCAAAAAAAATTGACTAACCCTGTTTTAGAATGTGTTAAAACATTCTTTGATCCTGAACTTGAAATATGACCTACGTGAGGGGACTTATGTCCATGCAGAGCCCACTAAAAATCAGTGGGATTTTGCATAGGCATATGGGTCTTCCTGCATGGCGCTAATTGCAGGATCACAACCAAATCAGTTCAGATTGGGGGGAGAGATAGCTCAGTGGTTTGAGCATTGGCCTGCTAAATCCAGCGTTATGAGTTCAATCCTTGAGGGGGCCATTTAGGGATCTGGGGCAAAAATCTGTCAGAGACCGTACTTGGTACTGCTGTGAAGGCAGGGGACTGGACTTGATGACCTTTCAAGGTCCCTTCCAGTTCTATGAGATATTATTCTATGGAGATATACCTAAGTATTTCTCATCATTTATCTGTACTACACAGCAACCAGTGACATTTAAGTAAAATATCTGCAAATTTTCTGGAATTATTAATCATCTTAGAATGAGTACTTTTAAAGTAATTAAATCACTATAATTTCATTATATAACCTCACAAAAGACCCACAGAAAACAAAACAAAAACCAGCACAAGGATTCCTCCACTTACAGAAAAGCAACAAATCACTGTCTTTGAAACAAGATTGATACAGTATTTGCTTCTATCAGGTCCTAGACAATGACTCCTCTTTCCATCCTATCTTCAAATGATTACTGTAGACTGGAAGATTTTGAACAAGTGGTCACAGTATAAAAACACCACACACCAGGTGAGCCCAAAAAGGTAAGGCCAGTTCTGCAGCAAGTGCAAATGTGGCTATTTCTTTGGAGAAACCTAGCATAAAGGATGTAGAAATATGCTTTATAAAACAGTCTCCAACAATCATTGGTCTATATGAAGCAATGTCAGGGTTCCAGTAGGAAGACAAAATATATATTTTATAACGCTGGGCTAAGCACTGAATGTTGCTGTATATTTTAAACAACAAAGGCTCTTTGCCCTCTAGCTCTGAAATTCAGAACAAATCTGCAGTAAGAAAGAAAGATGACTTCTGTTGAAACACGGAGACTTAGAAGGCTATCAGCAGAAACATACATCAGACCCATTGTTACTACTGTTAGATGTATAGTGGAGGAGCAGTGAATGGGAATGGGAGGGCAGCACTACAGATTTAGTGATACAAATTAATGAGTGTGAAGAACCAGTGACTCTTTCCAAGTCAGAGTTTCCCCTTACATATGAACAAACCTGCTGTACTAAGAAAATATCCCAATAGTTGAAAGATAGCAATTCAAAAGCTTCAGTCAAATTTTAGAAAAGTCCTAATGTTCTTAATGCAAAAGGACAGAAACGGAGGGCATTCCAATGGCACAATCATTAACTTACTTCAGAAATTTTCTGCCCAACCAGCGGTCAGGAGTTAAGTTACACAGCAAAAGAATAGTCAATAGAACACTGTAGCTATAACTTTGTAACAAAGAGCATACTGCAACTGCCCAAAGTGTGTACACAATCTTTGGCCCCCACACACCCAGCAGAAACAACATCACCCACAGCATAAAGATTGTGTCCATTGTTTATTAAGTACCTCCTCTTGGCAGCTTATGAAATACTCCACTGAGTACATCAACACTAGCAGTTTTTCCAGAAACCGGTCAATTTACGAAACTTTAAAAAGCGTAAGTCAGGTTTAAATGTTACACGAGTCGCTCCCTGCAAAATGGCTATATTACAAGGAGCAACAAACAAATACAATCTTGCTCTGCATGTTTTTAAAAACATTAATCCCAATGTACAATACATACACTTTTGGCATGTAACAGATTGTGTTTTCCAGTTTTAGGTTAAAACTGATGAAATCTAAAAGCAAAAACTAAAACACGGTGGGGTTGTTTGTTTGTTTTTGTAAAACATTACACCAAAAACACAAAACTTTTAAATAGAAGTCTAAAGGTTCCTCATGCTCATTCATTTCTGGAGGCAGGAGTTTGCAGTGGGTCCTGGTTTTATTTTTCTCCAGAAAGGGAGTGGTGTGGGAACCAACAAGTTTTACTACTAAAAATGAGCAATAATTTCTCTAAAATTAAAATATCAAAAGTCAGAAAATAAACTAATTACGAAAAACAATAAAAAAACAACTGATTTCTATGTTCTCATTTAAACTACTGGCTCAGGTCTTCACTTAATCTTACCCCAAAGATGTTAGCTTTGGATAAAAATCCATATTTATGTTTCAGACATTGGATCTAAAGGTAGGTTAAAGAGCGAAAAAGAAAAAAATTAAAAGATTTATAGAATATTTTTATAGAAGAGCGTTTTTTTATTTTAGTCTTTTCTATTATATGATCTACCTACCTGTCTACTCAACAAAACTTCCACATGCTGACATACTTGTTTGATTACATCAGTACAGCTGACTGTTTTGACACTTCCAGGACGTGCTTAAGAGGGTGTGTGTTATCAGGCCAACAATGGGTACATGTGTCCAAATACAAGCACTATCTAGGATGAAGACTGACAAAATAGCCTGTTTGTATGCTCACCTAGCATCCCACCTATAGAATAAAAATGTAAATACAAACTATTTTCCCAAAGCAATCATGTCTTGCATTTTATGAACATTTTTTAAAATGTCAAGACTATCAGTTATCGTCATTAAAAGGTTCATGGATTACTTTCTACAGATTACAAAGTGGTATTAATTAGGCATGGTCACAATTTTATATTACTTTATACACACATTCTCTCTCTGGTCCTCATTTAGTCGTTTTTATGTAACCATGTTGTGGACTGTTAGATAGCTGATGTATCTTACCCCAGATGGCTACGTTCAACAGTGGGTGAAGAAGTGTTCCAGGTTTTTATTTTATTAGCTATCATACACATATACACAGAATTTGCAAAGTGCTTTGGATCTACCAGAATTAAAACAAACAGATACCTAAATGTAAAAGGATAGAATACTATTTCTCCAGTTCATATCCTAGACCAGAACATAAGATAACTGGAGTAAAAAATTAACTAAGATTCCCAGGTAAAAACAATCTTTTTAGTTGCATCCAAACTTAAATTTTGCTAAAAGAAAATATATAGGTTTTATTACATCATAAGGAAGAACAAATCCATGCACTATACATTGCAAAATACATACTATTTCATCTAATACTGGATATTTATAAATTAAAGAATAACCATAGAGAAAATTTTATTCTTAATTCCAGAAAACGTTGCTATTCTTAATTCCAACAGCATGCCACTTGCACTTTGAGAGACCAAAAAGTGGTAAACAACATTTTTAAAAGGATTCACATAGTGAGGAGAAGTCATTATTACCTG